AGGGCTACGCAGACACTGCACAGGCCCACCATCAGGCCCATCTCAGCCCTCCGTCCCAGCCACAAACACCGGGGCAGGGATAAAAGAAGATTCTCCTCACATCAGCTGTACACAAGAGCTATGAGGACAGCCAGGAAGGGCAGCGTGGAGATGCCTGCGTTTATGCGGCAGCTGGTGAAAGAGACGGAGAAGAGGGTCAGCTCTTTCTTCAAAGGGGGCCGTGGAGGAGCAGCAGAAGGAGAGCAGCCAGGGGAAGGGGAGAAAGAGGAGGTCATCCCCAGCCCCTACCTGGACCGGCCAGTCCTGGACAAGCTTGCAGAGGAGGGCTGTGCCCGCTGGGGCCTCACCTACGCCCTAGGAAGCATGCAGGGCTGGAGGGCCAACATGGAGGACTTCCATAACTGTGTGCCACAGCTGGGTGGAGAGCTGGCCGACTGGAGCTTCTTCGCCGTGTTTGATGGTCATGCAGGCAGCAGCGTGGCACATCACTGCTCCCAGCACCTTCTGGGTCATATCCTGGCTACAGGTAAAAGAAATGCAACTGAAAATGCATGAATGAAAATAATAATAATTATAAAATATGTGGAGTATTGTTATCCTTTGTTTTCATCGAGAAGAGACACTTATTACCATGAAAGACAGATGATTTTTCCTTGTTATCAGACATCAATATTATGACTGATAATTTCTCATTGTATTCTGCAAATATCTATCCTATTGTATGTAATGATGTGCTTTCATGGGATGCCAGATTCAGAAAACAGTACTCCAACATAGTATCTGTTTGTGCACACAGGTGGAATAGGACCAGAGGACGACCCTGAAAAGGTGAAAGGAGCCATCATCGAGGGCTTCCTGCACACAGACAAGCACCTGCACTCTGTGGCCCGTCGAGAAGGCTGGGAGAGGGGCGGTACCACTGTGGTGGCCACTCTCATCTCGCCATATTACATCTATTTTGCCAACTGTGGTGACTCAAGGGCCATGCTGTGCCGGTCTGGCCAGGTTTGCTTCTCCACTGAGGACCACAAACCTTACTGCCCTCTGGAGAAAGAGCGTATAGAGAGTGCAGGCGGCTCGGTGACCATCCAAAGGATCAACGGCTCCCTGGCAGTGTCCCGTGCTCTGGGGGACTTCAGCTATAAGGGGGCAGAGAACCGGACACCCAGCCAGCAGATGGTGTCACCAGAGCCAGAGGTGAGCGTGGTGGAGCGCTCACCAGCAGATGAGTTCCTGGTGCTCGCTTGTGACGGGGTGTGGGACACCATCAGCAACGAGGAGCTGTGCGCCTTCATCCACAACCGGCTGCGTGTCTGCACTGACCTGAGGGACGTCTGCACTCAAGTCATTGACCTCTGTCTCTATAAGGTCAGAACCTGCTGGTTAAAACCAGCATACATGTTATCTTAATCCTTTGTAACTACAAAGTGATCCAGGAATTTATGCATTTCTGCATGTTCAGTTGCTTAAATGGCAAATCCTTTTAACTGATTATAAAAAGAAAACACAATTAAGTGTAAAACTGTGTTACATCATTTTCAATGGGCTGCGGATTTTATGTAATAACATAATCCCTTAAACTGTGGCTGTGTTGAGTTGGTTCGGCTTAATCTGAAGGATGCCGGGGTCATGGCACTAAATGAAGGTAACTCAAGGACAGTTTCTATTTTATTAATAGTACATAAACCTAGTCAATCACAATCAGTCTCTTTGACTTTCACTCAGGCTTTCACTCCAGTTACATCTTTTCTTATTTTTCAAACTTTTCTATCCAACTGCTTTGAATTTACAGGTGCTACATGAGGAACATTTTGTAGAGTAGGTAGATTTACATAAACATCATATTAGCTTGCTTTTTAAAGAGTTTGCAGTTCCACAGAAGGCTGTGCTGGATCCCCTATTTTTTCTTAAATATCTTGTTCATAAAGATACATGGTTTAAAGTTTACTTGGTGCAGATCTTATCATGGTTTTATTCATAGTTTTTTAACATTGCCCTTCTGTTTGTATAAACTTATGGTTGATGGCACTGCAATGAAACTGAGAAAATCCTGTAATTTGGAAGTTGAAGTTGGTGAAATCTGTGCAAAGCGATATTGAAATATTGTCACCTTTTAAGTCAACATGGCAAAATTGTTAGCAAACAGTTTCTTATCTACTCATTCAGCTGATATTACAGTTACTATTTGTTTGAAGCTGTGTTTCTACCCACCCAATGATGAATGTTTTGCTCTCCACCAACTCCTGAGAAAAATATCTAGCTCTGTAGCTAGATGTTCCACTTTCCTCAACTAGGTAGTCACTTTACTTTGTCAGGCATTTGTTGTTGTACAGGTAGTGACTGAAAATGACGGCAGTGAGAGTGGTGAGAATCAATGTAAACAGTAGTTACACACCAGAAAACAAAACCATAAGATGCAAGAAGCTTCAGTTCTAGGTGAGATTAGTGAGGTGACTGTAGGTTTGTCATTATAAGCGCCTCCTTTCACATATTAGTCACTTAAAGGGAACCAGAGAAATAGCATCTTTGGTTGTAATAGTCTACATTTAGAATGAAAAAGTAGCCCGGATTTCTGCTAGGGGTTTTGTTCAGGCTAATTTAAACTGTGGCTGCTCTTCATGGTATAATAATGTGACAGACCACCTTAAAATAGACTGCAGAGGTGTCAGAGCACGTTATATGGGATTATTCTGGGTTCCTATGGGGACTTATTTCAGCCACTCTCACTCTGAGAGTGTCAGGCGGTTGAAGGTTGATGTTCAAGAACATATTGCAAATTGTACCGCCCTTATACATGAAGAATAATTTCAGAATAATTATTCCACTACAGCCAGCTCCACTCATTATAGCTGCTAGATTTAACAACAACAGAAAAGCTTTATTGTGTTAAAATATAATAATTTAATTGATGCATATATTCTAGCCTAATAAGTGAAACAAATTCATCCCTCATTAACCTCACCCTATTAAAAACCAGGGTTCACAGATCTCAAGGCAATTAATAAAAGAAATTGGGTTTATTGTTAATGTTTTCTGTAGAGTCAAAGAAGCACATCAGGATAAACACGGGCCACATGTGCATCCATGCTGCACTCTGTTTGGCCGTTAGGTCCATAATGTCACTCTGTTATGTAACAAGGCTTCAGCTTGGATATACACAATGACCTCAAAATGTCACAGCTTCTTCCACACTTCATTTACATTTTCCTGCTCCACTGCATCTGTGTGAACCTGGCACACGCACCTTGAGGGGAAAATGATCTATTTCTAAAACCGGCCAGGATGAAATAATGTTTGATATGTTGACATCCGTAAGGTCAGACAGCTATTATTACTCACCTCTGTTGATGCCACTTCTCTCCACAGGGCAGCTTGGACAACATCAGCATCATCCTGCTGTGCTTCCCTGGAGCCCCCCAGCTGTCAGCAGAGGCATTACACCAGGAGGCCGAGCTGGAGGACCTGCTGGACTCCAAAGTAGCAGGTGTGTGGGTATAAATGATACAGAAGGGATGCTGTGAGCAATGTACTGTCATTAGGTATTTTTAGGCAAATCAGGCATTTGACACCTGTTTTTGTTATGGTTACTAGGTGAAGTCCTGACACTTTTCTTTTTTCTTGAGGTTTTATCACACTAAGATGAAACTCTTGTACCTGGTTTATGAGGGCAGGCAGCCTTATAGGGGCCGCCTGCCGGTAGTTTTGCAGATTATTTAGCCATTTTCAAATTTCAATTGTATTTTGTTTTGACCATTTTTAAAGATGTGTGTATGAATGAATTGCCAGAAACTTTCCAAATGTTCTTATATGTTTGTTTTTGTTTTAATACCTGACAGAGATTTATGATGAGCTGTGTGCCAGAGGGGAGGAACCTGACCTGCTGTCCGTCCTCACAGTCCTCGCATCCACTGTCATCCCTGGATTACCACCAGGTGGAGGCATACAGAGCAAGTAAGAGACGAAAATGAGCTTATATTTTTGTGTGTGTGTGTGTGTGTGTGTGTGTGTGTGTGTGTGTGTGTGTGTGTGTGTGTGTGTGTGTGCATCTGCCATCTATACCCTGTATTGTGAAATGACACCATGTTACTTCTGTGTGTTACAGAAGGAACTGCATTATTTCTGCTTACTATCAACGAAGAGAGACACACAAGCCCACACTGCCAAATGTGAGTACAAACTACACATCTGCCCCATTCTAACCTTCATAACATGCTTCTTCCTTCACTGTGCACAGTACATTCACCATTATTTTCTCTCTCTGTGTGTGTGTGTGTGTGTGTGTGTGTGTGTGTGTGTGTGTGTGTCCGTCCAGGGCCTGGGAGGCTCCTGAGAAGCCCAGCAGGATTTTGTCTCCAAGGATCCATGGAGGGACTGTAATTAATGTCAATATTAAAACTGTTTTCTTCATGTGTGCATTTGACAAAAAGGGAGATGATTAACAGACACGAATGTTTGTTTGCATCACGCCAGCAAGCAGCATCTTGTCAAAACAAATACAATGCAAAAATAGATCTAATAAAGCCTGATACATTTTATATTTATACAAGACGGACATTTTGTAAAACTTACTCAGAGATACTAATCCAGCAACAAACCTCTGCCTCATATTCAGTGAACAGAAGATACAGATACAAATGATCTGTAAAAATGAATAACAGCCAACTGTGAGATTGTAAAGTTTGATTGGATAAAATAAGGAACATGAGTATATGTAGGGTTATATTTTAAATGTTTTAATAATAGATATAATAGATAAATAATATAAATGATAAAAAAGTTTATTGTATTAAGTTGTTCAGTTTGCCTTCCCTATGCAGGAAGGAAAAATGTGTTGACCGAAACATTTTCGGTGCTAGCCAAAAGCTAGCATGCAGCTAACATATCCGTTTGTTTTTCAACAGGTAGTGCTAACAGTGCTAACAGTGCTAACAGCTGGCCAGCTGATGGGAACGCACAAATTTATCTTTTCCCCTCGTGGTCAAAAGTGACAGGCAAATAAACACTGATTAAATATTTAATTCTACTAATTAAATCTCGACACATACACATACACATGAAAAAATACATTTCACACATAATTTAAACTCTTTTTGAAGAGGTGTTTTCCTTTTTGTTTTATGTTAAACATGTAGAGCAAAATGGGCTGGAGAGATGACTGGAATGAGTTTACTTCTTAAAATTATTGGATATATTATTTTAGAGAGCTATAAAGCATGTCGCGGTTTGATTGTGACCAATAATTGAACTCAAAGTAACAATTGGCCAAATACCCTAAAATCTATATTTACTGACCGATCACAATATATTTTACATGAATAAGTTTTACATGTACACATTTTTTTTTTTTTTTTTTTGCGGTTCTCTTTATATATTAACCATATTTTTAAACACATTCTTCAATACAGTGTATGTGAAATGTGTTTTTTCCATAAGTTGAATCATACGTACTGTGATGCCTTATTCATCTTTTATATAGTTGATAAAACAAACAGCATCAGAACAGGTCAGTTTCAGGATGGGTCATTTTATCTGCATCATACTGCATTGTTAAATTATTTCAGTATTTTCTGTGTATAAATGTTACATGTTAAGAGTCATGATTGTTTTAAAACTAAATAAAGAATATTTGACTGACGACGTGCAGTGTTTGTTTTTACCCACAAAAAACTAAAGAGCTATTTTTCAAATTGGTTTGAAGTTAGTAACAGTGAACACATCAAGCGTGACCACTAGAAGAAAATGGATGACTTTGTCTCATCATTTTCCGAGCGCTGATTAAAAAACCTGCCGCATAGATGATACAGAATGGATTAAACTGGCTTTCCTTGCATAGTTAAGAATCTCCTCCAGCTAGCCAAGGAGAGCCTGTATTTTCGCTCTCCGCTCTGTTGATGTGATTCTGCGACTATCTGTGCAGCACTTATTGACATAAGGACATCCTCTACAGGCCACGTTTGATTGGATGTGCTCTATTGAAAACACTGGATCTCAGCGCTCTTTCATGATTACTGTGAATTTCAATGACATGCACTGATGGAACAAGATGGGCGACTTGTGAGCAATCAACAAATTAAAATATCTCTTTCTCGGTACTTATGAGCTCCTGTAGCGGGTTTGAGAAGCTCTGTTTAGATACAAATCACAATTCAAATGTTTTATATATGCAGCTAGTTATCTAAGAGGAGATCGTGTTTATGTCTGTATGTTCACTAAAACTGACTACCACCTCTCGTTGATTGAGGAGCTCAGGGGACATGTTCAGCACTCTCAAATCAGCAGTCCCCTTTAAGTGGTCCTTCACTGCTTCTTTCATCTGATTGCTTTTGTATGAGCCAATCACTTCAGGACATCAGACCCCTCTTCGCAGCGATGTTGAATTCTTTAAATTGCATTTGTCTTTTTTTGCTCTCGTTCTCTACAAATAACAAAATGTAATAAATTATTTGATGTCCAGTCCATGCTGGAGGTCTGCTATTATCTGCATAGACTTCCACTGAAACTGCTCAAAGGTGCTAATCAGAGGGCAATTATTCTATTCTCAGAATTTGGTTTTGTCATACTGAGAGGACAAATGATTGACTTAGGAGCTTCAGTATACCGTAGAGAACCCAAAACAATGTACACAATAAGAACCTCCTAGTGGTGCTACCTGTCCACACTGGTTTCCTGTAGGCGATTATTCATAATGGCCAAGGCCCCCACACCACCAGAGAATCCGTTTTGATGGCTGTAGCTCTGCCGCGGGCCCTGATGAGCAGTTTCGCTCAACTGCTTCTGCAGCAGTGCCAGAGACACCTTATTGGACACCATGAACTCATTGACAGAGATCATCTCTCCTGACAGACGACGGCCAACGGCCACTGCACCTGCATCCGTCTCACTGTCACACACTGTGTCCACCGAGCCTTCCGTGTAGCGGTGTTTTCCTGCAGGGCAGTGGGACGAGATGGGCTGCACAGTGTTGCGTTTTAAGCGTTTTTGCCTGAGGTGTGCAGGCAGACGCCTTTGGTTGTGATTTTTGTTCTGGAGGCAGGGGCAGCAGAGCCACCAGCCTCCAGGTGTAGAGCAAGAGCAGGGCTTATGGCGCCCTGAACAAACCAGCTTACCCACGATCCAGTTGAGAGTTTGCTTGATGATAATGGAAATTACATTGAAAAGTGAGTAGATACAACAGACTCCCATTAAGATGAAAAGGCAGTTCCCAAGCCGGTAGGCTTCCTGAGACTCATACTGCTGTCTCTGACTGCTCACCAGGTCCCCGAAGCCGATGGTACTGAAGGCCACAAAACAGAAGTAGAGGGAGTCCACATAGCTCCAGTTCTCCATGGAGCTGTACAAAGTGGAGGCACTGCACGCAATCACAACCGATGCCACGCCCAGGATCAGCATCACGTAATAGACTGACGGTTTCCAACCTTCCAGGCTGTCCTCCTCGCCAGACGACTCCTCCCTGCTTGACACCACCCCAACTCCAGCACACCTCAGCCGACGCTCATGACACCAGCGCATGATGTAAGCTAACATTGTGATGATCCTCTCCAGGAAGAGGTTAAAGAAGAGGATGGTGGCAGCACAGCCAATGAGACCATAGAAGATTAAGAATATTTTTCCAGCTATGGTCGCTGGTGTGGTCATACCAAAGCCTGGAGAAGAGAAACACAAAATAAAAGGTCAATGTTGAGAAACAGTATCATTTTGGAGTTGGTATCTCATACAGATCATCTAAGGACTTTTAAATTAGCGTCTCAGAAACAAAAGACTTACCAATAGTGGAGACCACCGTGCCCACAAAGTAGAAAGCTCCAGAAAAGTCCCAGCGGGGTCTCAATGTGTCTACCCTGATCCCAGCTCCGTTTGCCTCCTCGTACTGACGCAGCAGAGTGTGCAAGGCACCCAGGTTCACCCTATATCGCTGGGTAAAGTTGTCCAGCTGCTGTTTCCAGAGGCGCCGGGCACGCAGCTCAAAGGGGTGTTCCAGGGCTGAGAAGATGGCGGCCCCACACAATAAGTAGAGGAGGATGAGCCCAGCCAGCAGGCAGAAACGGGCATTGTCTTCGTTCATGGGCGCCCTGGGGCAGCAGCAACCACCAGCAGCCCTCCTCTGAGCCATGAGCACAGCAGCAGCACAGATACACCACTGCATGCACCACCTCCACCAGACCTGCCAAGTCACACACTCACAGTATGTGTTGCGTGCATCACCCACCACACAACATACATGCACTGGCTATATAAAGCACTTTTGGTTTACCGCTATGCATTTGGCTCTAAGATCGTACAGGACAGAAAAAACATTTCTTGGAGGAGGTTACTGGGGGCTGCTTTGATCATTTAGGAGAGAAATGATGCATCTAAAGAGAACACAGCCTGTAAGAAAACAAAAAGAATGTATTAGTATGTTCACTACAATGTAAATATTTTATTATTCAATTTGGAATAATTGAATATGTTTTATTTTCCCCCTTATTAATACAAAAAATGTTCAACCACAAACAATCTGACTGAAAACATGCAAAGCTTTGGTTAAACCAATTAATTGTCAAGACGTCCATGATAGTTAAATACTAAATTCATGAAATAATTTTAGTCCGTAGCAGTTTATGATACATTATGTTACCCAGAGTAAATAGTTCAAGTTTAAAGTAAAAAAAACCCTCACGTAGTACCTGGTCTCGTTCACATTAGTGTCCGTTCCCTGAGTGCTGCTGGTCTGCTGTGCCCGTTCCATGGATGTGCTGAACAATGATCAGCGAGAAGAAGCCTCTTGAGTTTTTTTGTGCAAACTGAAAGGCTGTCTGATGTTTCATCTGTCTCACACTGACATCATCATCCCTTAGCCCACCCCCTACATCTGTGAGCACACCCTCACTGGTGCAGTCATCTCATTTGAAAAAAAAAAAAGAAATCACTATTCTTCTTTTTCAAGCCTTTAATTCACCTCAATTTAACTCCACTTTAAATAGTTACAAGTGACAAAGGGTTTGCTTTAAATAATTGGTCCTTTAATCACTTGGTTACATCTACCAAGCTTGGAAAAGGGTGTTTCAACTCTTGAGTGAAGTATAGCACCAACCTTGATTCTCCTCTGCTACTGAAACTAATATTTAGCAGTTGCCCTAACATTAGAGAAGAATCACCAGAAGCCTGCTAATTCAGATGGATACATTTAATTAGGCGTTAACTAAGAGCAGAGCTTGTCCCTCTATCAATACCACCACTGATGTACTCTTGAGCAAGGCACTCAGCTCAAAAGTGCTCCAGTGGGGTTTGCTCAGATCAGACTGTGGTTGCACTGTGCAGCTTCCAGATCCTCTCAGAGAGCTTTTTGTAGTAGCTGCAGACTGTGTGGGAGGACTTGTTGAGCATGACTCTCAGTTTCTCTGTCTGTTTTTTCCTTTAATCTCATCTGGTGCTGCAGGTAAGGGCAGGGGTTCCCTCTGCCTGCCGTCTGATGGCTGAATGACAGGAGTGGACAGGTGTGGAAGAGAGAGCACATCTGCCTTCATCTCTCCAGTCAGCCCTCTATCAGGTGATGAACTTCAGAGTTTAATATTCTGATATGTTGGGGTTTACAGCACTGCATGTCTATCACTTTGACTTATTTTAATGATTGTATATGTATGTAGGTACTGCATGAATTCATCAATGCATTACTTCTCAGTGGAATTACTGTACAACAGCTTTAACAATAACCAATGACTGAACTATAAAATTACTTCATGAAAGAGATGCTCAGTTTAATTGTGTGCTGTAACACACAAAGTCTCAACATGTTTGCACAGAATTAAGTGAATTACACAATTAATTTTATTTAGTTTTCTTAAAATGCAATGTACTAAAATATATGTGTTTTTGGTTTATTTAGGGACATTGCTAATATAACCAAAAAGCTAATTTTCATCTAAAGTCAATCTGCAATTTGTCAAGCAGAGTTTCATTAAACTATTTGATCAGTTGTCGTGTGTGAATGCAGAAAATGGAAAATTATAATTGGTTGACGTTGATGTTGTCAATGATGAACAGTGAACAATGCTTGAAATACCATCAACCTTCACGCCTCAGAAGAGGATAAAAACACCTGGTTTTCATGAGGTTTCTGGAGTCACTCAGTAACCAGTACTCAGACAAAAAGATGTACATTTCTACGAGAGATTTCCTGTCAGATGCAGGAAGAATAAATAAGGAGAGTTCATTAAAACTAAACTGATCTGAAAATGTGGCTTTCAATATCATGAACTGTAGTCAATGGTGTTTAAATTGATACAAGTAGAAACACTGTTCATTGTGCTGATAAACAATACATTGAATAGGGGCGTAGAGTAGCGACCTGTGTTTGTAGTAAACACAAAGTACAGCAGAGGATGATGGGATTGTCATTAGTTTTGCAGGTAACAAATTAAAATGTTGACCTCTTGATGGCGCTAGATAAAACCAAACATGTCAGTCCAATAGGTGTCCAGACATTTGTGTGTCAACCCCATCATGGTGTTAGAGGCAACATCAAGGGATCATCAGTCATTAGGCTTCATCTTTAGATAGTTCAGTCCCATAAATCACTATGTATATACAGTATGTACTAATATTGGTCTCTTAACAGTGGAACTCAAGTACATAAATGGTGAAATTATTTCCCAACCATATTTATGTAAACTACATTTAAATAAAACATTTTTATACGTATCAAATAATATTATAATAGTGGCAAATAAATTAAATGAAAGAAATGCAGGAGGAAAAAAAAAGTCCACTTTTCAGGATCATAGTTTTAGCACCAATTTAATGACACAGTGTGACATTACTGATCATCTCGAGTCAGAGGTGGCAGCCATATCTTTGGCTTATAATTGCTAGTGTCATGTTTTTACTAAAATAATGAGCAGGTCCTCACAAGACGGTCGGGTCAGACCTGCTGAGACTGAAAACTGAGACTGTCTTTGGCTCTTACAAGGTAAGCTTAGTGTTGTATGTCTATGTAGTGGTCAAACTTTAAAAGGCTCAGGTTGCTCAGAGAGTCCACAAATCTCCAATGCCCTTTTGAGCCGTGTTGTGGGCCTAATTTACCAGTCCCTCCAGGGTTTCTTGGGCCTTTTTGGGGATTGTTGCAGCCTCAAATGCCTGATTTCACGGGAGCTTTTCCAAAAAACTTGTGATGGTATTTTTTGGCTATCAAATTGTGGGAGAAAGTGAAAATTGTAAATTGAACAATAGTTGTTTTGTTTTTTAAAATTTTACAATTCATTAAAAATCAGAGGCAACTTGTTCCAGTGAGAATAAAATCACAATGAGAACTCACAGGGATTGGTTGAATCTGCGTTAAATTAAATTGAGGGACTGATTTAATGAAAATAAATCTGTTCTGCAAAGTATTTACTTGATAACACATCTTGCAAAATGTGTTATTATTATAATCAATCACATCCTCCATTTTTTCTTTTTTTTTACGCCTTCCTATTTTCAGCTTATTCCCACAATAACCATTTCAGAAACCAGTGCATCTGCAGTCATTCACTTATGAGTGGTGAAGGAAGGACTGAGAGTACATTTCCACACATTTTGAGTGGCGTTCAGGTCAGTGGCAGCATATTGGCCAGTATGTCAATGAGGTTGTCCAGACCCCACAGATAGCCATCTTCACGATTGCCCTCTACCCAGGGAGTGCGGTGGTCCACGGTGAGGTGTGACGGCAAGGCCATGGTCTTTCCAAAGTCAATCATCCAGACTCCTGTTTGGCCTGTCCAGTCGTGTACAAACAGTAAAGAACTGCCCACAACCTGCAGGGATACAGTTGTTAAAAAAAGGCTCCACCACTGCACAAATGTGCTATATTATCAGCCTGAGCCTGCCTACACCATCCAACAACAGTAGGGAACATAGATTTGAACATCTACCACACAGTTTAACAAACACATCTAACCTCATGTGCTCGGAAGAAATCTGACGTCTCCAAGACCTGCCGCAATTGCTTCAACCGTCTCAGATAGCCCCACTGAAGGGAAAGAGACAAGACTTACAAGAACAAAGAAAAAACTGATTACGAGTAAATGGAAGCCGGTGATACTCACCACAATGTGTGTATTGGACTCAACAAAGTTGTTAAGTGCTTCCATCACTTGATCTCTGCTTTTGGTCCTTTTGAAGTTTGTGTGACATTCTTCATTTGCCTTCTGCACAGGAAATGAACATTTCACAGCGTTATAATGTTAAATCTGCAGCTATCAGACTATGAACATAGAGTAGTAGCATGTATTAATGACCTGACACAACCATCTTTGACCAGAACCTCGGAGCTTACCCTGAATCCTTCAATACGGAAACCCAGAGTTGTTGTGGAGCTCAGCGTCTCCCTCCACTGCATGTACCTGGTTTTCAGCACTGCCTGCTGGGCTCGCTCCTGGACTGTTGGGGCCTCTGGGTCCACAGCCACCATCTTCTCATACATGTCGTTACGAGGCTGGGGGCGTTCTCGTGCCATCAGCAGCTCCTCCTCGAGGTATGTGCTGTGAAGGACGGAGCCTTGTGGTCTTTATTGTGACTAGAGCACATTAAAGGGTTACTTTTACTGTGAAAAAACAAAGCTTCAAAGAGAAACATTATGCTTTAAGATGCTAATGTTTAAATTTACAGGTGTTGTATTAAGCCTCTAAATGTGTTTGAGCCTGAACTGAGCATTGTAAATAAGTTGATGGTCTATTTGAAACACAATTTATTATTTTCTTATGCCAATTCTATGACTAAATAATTATGTTTTCTTCAAATATGCCTCATTCAACTGCTCTCAGTGACAAAACCTGCCCTATTAAAACTTACCGACTGCCCATCTTGCAGTCCATGATGGCAGGTGTGCTGAAATGGGTCAGCAAGTTATCCATCATGTTGTAATCCTGCTCGTCCCGCTGCACCACACCGTGGTAGGCTGGAACAAAGGGACTCAGAGCGTCCTCCATCAGCCTGAGGTAGCATTGTTGCTCCCCCTTACAAAACCTCTTCAGCAGTGTACCATAATCCCCAACATGAAAGCTCCCTGCGAAGACGAAGCAAAGGAAAAGAACATTCAGCGGAAAGCAATATTCACTACATTACTTACCCCTGTGAATATTTTATTTTTTTGTCAGAATTAGCTGAGGAGCAAAATAAAAGACATGTGAGACTACACAAACAAACCTGCATGTCCGACCACTTGCAGCCACTGCTGAGGTTTCTTAGGAGTCATAGGAAGGAGAGATGAAGTCCCGCAGATTTTGTGCGTCTTCCATGCGGAGTTCTGCATCGGAAGACCAAAAAAACCTCAGCCTGTCATTCTTTATCACACATACACACACACACACACACACACACACACACACACACACACACACACACACACACACACACACACACACACCAGGTCACTCTCCTCTGCTGCCTGTGTTTTTGTGCGTCTTCAGACAGCAGGGACCTCAGACCTCAGACTTCAGACCTAATGGATGAACAACGTCTCCGTGGAAACAGCCCCTAACCAAGACTGAGTGAAGACTCGCAGAGGACAGGGTCAGCTCTGATCATGTGCAACAGGTTTATTAAACATTTACAGGAGATGCTTGTTTTCTACTGAAAACCACTTTTAACAGCTTAACCCAACGGTGGACGGCTGAACACACAGATACTGACGATTTCAACATGGAAGTTGGTTCCAGGGTTTGAAATTATGTTAAAAATGTAGTGCTCGCATAATTATGTAAATCAGTTTGTCGAGAGGAGTAAAATGTGTCTACTATTATAATTTTAATATACTAAAATCATTCACTGGTAACAGCTTCACAACTATGAAGAGATGCTTGGTTTTGTCTGTTTATCGTTATAAATGATATATTAATCCAGCAGTACTGGTTTGAATTAACTGCAGCTGTTGTATCTTCCTTCCTGGCTGCAGGTCACACAAACGAGATTATTCAAGGTGAGTTAGAATATCATAACGTATCATGGGAGATGTGCATTTTATACCCAAGACATCTACAGTTTCATTTGTAGAGGAAAGTATCTACCACTACACTACATTTTAAAAAGGTATTTGTAGTTTACTTAGACGTTACCTTATACTTCTTCTCCACTACATTCTGGAGGAAAATATTTAGAGATGTTCCGATATCATTTTCGATTCGATTCCGATACCTGAACTTCGCATATTGGCCGAGTACCAAAAAGGTGTCAGACTCTGCTGGGAACCAGCTGGGTCCTGTTTCGGGGCTAATAAATTATGTGGTATCAGGCTGGTGCACACACATAGTCCTTGACACCTGATACCATGTAATTTATTTTACATTTATTTACATTTTAGCAGTATCGTAGGAATTTCCAATACCTTTTATATTTATTTGACAGCTCCAGCTAGTATAGTTACTTCGCAGATCATGGTTTTCCCTACACAGCGGTGATCAGTTTAGAAAATATCAATTGGTCAAATGACGAGTGTTTTATTTTTGTGATAATTGTGAGGTTTAGACTTTTGGTTGGACAAAACAAGCACTGTGTCACTTTGGTCCGGTAATTGTGAGAGCATTTATCATTTATTTCATTCATTTCTTTTTACAAACCAAGCTGAAAGTAATCAGCAGATTAATCAATAATAAATCCATAATCATTAGTGGATGAAATAGTTAAAAATTACCTCCACCTCAACCAACGTCAACAATAAAGTTTGAGTAATGATAATCTAATGATATAATATAGAACAGTATAACTTTCACATGGGAGATATTTCTGCATTGAGTACTTTTAATACATAATTAATACTTTAATACATTTTCCTGACTATACTGAGATGTTTGTACTTAAGTAATATTGTTTGAGTATTTTGTTTAACGCTCTTTGAATGCAGGACTTTTACTGATAATGTAGAATTGACATTGTTATATTGCTACCAGTTTTGGGCAGTAACTCATTACTAGTAATACTATTACTTTTCCCAGTAACTAGTAGTGTAACTAATTACACATGAATTTCAGTAATAATATTAAAGTTACAATATTACTTTTGTTGTCACCCTCTACTGATTTGAAAAATCCACCAAACAATCACATCCTTGGATTCATTTTTGTAATTGTGGAGGAAATTAATTTGAAAGATGGAAACATTACTTTGACTTTAACAAACAAAACTGGATTTTAATTATTTTAAAAGTCAGAATTTTGGGGATAAAGGACACAATTACCAAATCTTTGCAGAACAGTAATATAACTAGTAGTGTAACTAATGATTGTTGGCAGGGAGTAATGAGTAAAGTAATTATACTACTTTTTAAAAGAGTAATGAAGAATGTATTGTCAGAATCAGAAATACCTTATTGATCATCAGGGGGAAATTTGTTTGTTACAGTTGTTCTACTCACACAATGTTAAAGAATATAAATAATACTTATATTACAATATCTAACACAATATATAGAATAGAAATGTATATATATATATACACATAAGAGAGATATAATAAGATAATCAGAACCTATATACAAAGTAAATGTAAACATATTCCACAGTATGTGCTGACAGAAAATAAATAGTAATGAGTTTAAGATTGTGGTGTTGCAGAAGTTAATTACAAAGAATGATTGAATAATTACAAGAATTAAATGTTTTGAGTAACCAGCCCAGCACTATGGAAACCCATTTCCCACAATGTGACAGGACAAAACGGATTCTTTAAGTCATTATAATGAGATACTTTCTCATTATTTTGGTATCTCAATATAATGACAAAGCCTAAATTAGAATAGGCCTGTGTGTTGTTTCCTCATATGCTCCAAAGCAACAAAAGCAAGTGAATGAAACAAAGTGTGGCAGACCAAATGGATACTGTCATTAAAGACTACTTTAGACATGGATTCACAAATCGGGAGATTTTAGCGGTTTTGGAGGAATCACATGATATTAAACCAAGTCTCCGGACCCTAGAGAGAAAGCATACGTATGTCAGTCGTGGGGCAAACTACGTATGGCATATAGATGGGTCTGACAAATTAAAGCCTTGTGGCATATGTATCAGTGGTTGCATAGATGGCTTCTCAAGAAAAATGGTACTGCTGGAAGCATACACAACCAACAATGACCCTCGTGCTAACAAATGCTGCTACAATTTTTTTCACTTTTACCACTGTTACCACTTTATCCAATCGCTCCTTATCACTTACTTAGTTTGTACTTATTTTATTTCAATTTTTGCTGCTAAACTGCACGGTGCGCATTGTTGTATATTGTATATACTGTACCTACGTTTAACTGGAATTTTTGTTGCACTTTGTCACATTTAGTTTCTTCTACTTATGTTACCTGTAAGTGCTCACGTTTTGTGGCATTTAGTTAATTGTTTGATTTATTTTATGTTAGCCTTTATTTTATTTTTACTTTATTTTATTTTGTTTTATTTTATTTTATTTTATGTTAGCTTATTTTTACTCTAACCCTGTAGTACTTTACTTTACCACCTTTGTATTGAAACTGTTGCACAGTAATTTCCCTGGGGATAAATAAAGCTTCCTGTATGTCTCCATGTCTAAAGTAGTCTTTAATGACAGTATTAATTTGGTCTGCCAAACATTGTCTCATTCACTTGCCTCTGTTGCTTTGGAGCATATGAGGAAACAACACACAGGTCTATTCTAATTAAATTGTTTTATTTTAATTAAATCAAAATATTGAGATAGTTTCTCATTATAATGAGTTGAAAAATGTTTTTTCCCGTCACATTGGCTGAAATGGTCTTCCATACAGCCCTGATATGTGAGCCGTGAAGGTCCGCGGTCTACCGGTGGAGGGCAGCGACACACCGGAGAGGCGTCGAGCCTCCGTCACAAACTCCGGTCGAGGAAGAGTCAGCAGAGCAAAGAGAAGAAGAAGAATTTAACGGTTCCCGGTTGTTGAACCGCCCCAGTCTCCACGGTGCCGGTAGCTTACAAATGGTTTAGGACTGTATTGTACTAACTCACCAGTCGAGCCGCCAGCTGTTTCTGGCTTCACCAAGCTAACGCACCCGCTGTGTTTTTGTTTTGCCCCCCCTCAACGAGCAGCTATGTGTTGACAACTTCCCTCATTAAGGATCGTTACAGCAACCAAAGGTAACGTTAACTAGTTGTTTGGTTTCCATGGGGATGGTCGGTTAGCTAGCTGCTAGTTAAACCCGGCGCTAACTAACTAGTTAACTAACTAACTAGCGGTAATGTCCGTGCTAGCTAACCCCAGCTAACGATGGTCAGTTACCGGAGATGTTAACTCTCGCTAGCGGATCTAATGACCGAGAAGTAGAGCGGCGTTAGTTTTATTTCAGAAACCCGCAGTTACCGACACAGCCGACCTTTTTAAACTTAACGTGAAACTAGTCAAACAGTCCCACCCCTGTGTGCGTGGTGTTTTCTGAGCTTGTCGCTAACGTTACCGAGAAAGATGAGGTTTAACGCGGATCGTCTCTCTCACTCTGCACCGGAGAAAGTGAAGTCAAGCGCGAAATCTCACAGCACCGTAACGCATCAACAACAACAAAAACAGAGACACGGTTGATAACTCACCTCGTAAAACATGACTTAAGACATCTGCCGTGTCCCCCGCGTATGATTTGACCCACCAACCACAACTTTTTCCAATAAAAACGATGACACCTTTTAAAATGCCCTCGGTCGGCTCGCTACCGCCCCCCGCGGTGGGTGTGAGGTGGGCCAGGTGAAATACAGCAGGGGGAAAAGCTAGAGTAACAATGACTATATTAATCAATATATTAATCAATATACTAACAACAGTGGCACTTAGCTTACCCCAGATATACACATATATAACGTTATCATTTTCTATATAGTGGCTATACCTCCATGTGTGCCTTTACAACAAGGCTATTACGCTTAACAAAATGTAATCTTTAATATCAAAGTGAATACAAAATCTGAATGTAATACAGATTTAACACACTTTTCTGTGGGTACAGTACAGGACGTTTTGGGTTGTTTCTCTCAGACTACTGTTGTGTCCATTCAGATTTCCCTTGTTAACCTGTTCAGATATATAGGGAATCAGGTTTGGATTTGTCAAAAATGTGTGAAGATGTTTGGTTTGATCTTCATGGCTCTGTCTGGTCTGAAGAGATCTGAATCCTAAACCCCCACCACACTATGAGACACGCACTGACCGTTCAGGGTTATCAGATATTAGATCGTGTTTGTTCCTCTGGCATCAAAAGCTTGTAAAATTGTCCACTAACATTAAACCCACCTGCGTTGTTTTGGGTTTTTTTTTACTATAGGAGTTCAGTCAGTTGACTCCAGTTGTTCCTAATTCCTAAGAATATTTGATTTCTCTTTCTCCCAGAGCGATGGAGGAGGGCTGTGAGGTGATGGAGGATATAGTATTTCGAGGAGTGGAGTTCTCTGTGAAGATAGAGGTGGACAAGGGTCTGCTGATTGTCGAAATCTCTGACTCAGCGACAGCAGATCAGTGGAGGGGGGACTTTGATCCAGCATGTAAGTAGCATACATTTATAATAGATTAAATGTCACCACAGGCACAAATAGTCTAACTCACACTCTTTTATTCTTTTTTTCAGACATTGAGGACCTCACTCGCAAAACTGGCAACTTCAAACAGTTTCCCATTTTCTGTAGCATGTTGGAATCAGCTGTTAGAAAGGTGTGTTTGAAGGTGCACTTCAATGGGGGGGGGATGTAGAGATGGCACAAATGCATACAAAGTCACTAGAAAGATGTGAACCGACACAGATTCGCTCGAGGCTGTGTGAGCTAAAGCGAGACTCATTCATTCGAGTTCAATGTTTCCACTTGAGTGAAAAATGCACAGTTATCCCGAGTTGTGTCATTCCTCCTCTTCTTTTCATTAATACACAGGAACAGGGGGCCAAAAGGGGAGAGCCTGGAGGAAATGTGTGTACATTTAGAAATTGGTCTCAACTGAACTGTCATACACATCCAGTACAAGCACAGACAGACTTGTGTGTGTGCTGATTCAACCAGCATCAGTCCTGTCTGTCAGGAAGTTTTAGGCTAAAACCAAAGCATTACGTAGACCACAAAAACAACTTAATATCACATTAGATTCAGGATTCTCAGAGGACAAAAATACACAATTGTTATTGTTTAGTTTGAGTTTGTAAGTGTAGTAATTTCCCAAGTTGTTGGCTATGAAGTCTGCTTTATTTCTGATACTGCACAGTTAACATGAGCTGTTTCTGCAGATGAGTGATTCTGTTACGCTTGACCTCCTGACCTATGCTGACCTGGAGCTGCTACGCAACAGGAAGGCAGGAGTGGTCAGTCGACCTCGCGGCCATCAGCAATCATCTGCTCTCACTGCCAAAAGATATCTAATCCTCATATACACTGTGGAGTTTGACAGGTTTGTCTCATACATTGCATTAAGTTTCTTAGTATTTTGGTTATGTCAGAGGTAATAACGGTTGTGAATTGCTGACTGTCTTCTATTTGTAGGATACACTACCCTTTACCACTGCCCTATGTGGGTAAACCTGACCCAGCTGCCCTGCAGAAGGAAGTCAGAGCTCTGCGGGCTGAGCTCAGCACTGTCACCTCTCATGGAGTTAACAAATCTGCAGAGCTAGAAGTACAGCGGCTACGAGCAGAGTAGGTTGCACCTAATCTCCGTCACCGTGACCAATACGATGTAGGACACTTTTTGATGTCTCCTACTTTTTTCAAGGCTGGCTCTGGTGAAAGAAGAAAAGGAGGCCATGGCTAAGGTCCTGGAGCGGCTGCAGATCGGTGGAAGCAGTTCCGCACCTGGACAAGAGGACTGGAGGGTCAGAGATGTGGTGAGGACGCTGGAGGAGCAGCTTGTAAAGGAGAGGGCCAAAAGTCAACGCTCAGCGAGCAAGAGATGCCAGGAGCAGCGACTCCTGTGCGAGCAGGTGCACCTCTTCTGCTCCTCAAAGTATTGAACTAGCAGGCCTTTTGTTACTGAGCTGGTTTTAACCTTTTTCTCCCCTGTGTTGGCTAGTTGGAGGAGCTGAGAGCTTCAGAGTGCGCTCTCCGCGTTCGTGTCAAGAGTCTCACCAATGAACTGGCGTTACTACGGAGAGGGTTAGACAATCTAAGCGTGTACTATATCTTTACTTTCTCTCTCTTTCATTCATTCGCTTACAATCTGGAGTGAACATTTACAATCTGAGTTTTATTGACCTACTTAGTGCACACCCCTTTTTCTGTGTCTGCAGCAGAGTGACTCCTGTGTCTGCTCACATCGGCTCTCGGGTTGACGGGGAGGTCTATCGCTCTCTCTCCCGCGAGAGGAGGACGGGGTACGGGACGGTCAGGACTCGGTCGGGTTCCAGAGAACGGATGGAGGACAGAGGGCAAAGGTCAGAGGAAAGAGGAAGAAGAGCAGATTCCTCAGGACCACGCGCTCGCATACCCAGGCCGTCACCCTCTCCCACCGGTACCAGCTCTGCTCGCGATGTAGTTAGATATTATTTCTAATATTCTAAATGTGATTCTGTGTTTGATCTCAATAACCCCACCTGCTCTCTTAAAGGTTCACGCGTACCCCGCTTTGACCCAACTGCTTATATCCAGGACAGACAGCGAAGGCTGAAAGAGGCAGAAGTCAAAAAGTTGGTTTCCATTAATTTTCCTGCAATGTCCTCTGACAGCACGCCAGTGTTTGTATCTGCTGCGAACAACAGTTTTAACCCCGTTTTCTGTGTCAGACAGAGGAAGGTACGTAGGGACATGCTGACGTCACCCATTGTCCCAGAGAGGGGGCGTTCACGTTCCAGAGAGGCCTATCCTCAGATGTCCCGGTCTGGCAGCAGAGGCAGGAGTTTATCTGTGGAGCGGAGAGGGAGCAGGAACTCCTCTGAAAGCTCGTTAGTGGATATGGAGGAAATGGCCAAAACTCTGTTCAGGTGATTGGACTACCTCAGATTCAGGTTTTTTGAATTGTCCATTGTTTTAGCTGATCATTTGAACGTCTGCTTTTGGTGTGTGTTTACAGAGGAAGAAAACAGACTTACAATGGACCCAGTGTGGTGAGTGACATGGTAATTAATGTAACTGGGACACTTTTAATTGCTGCTCTCTCATTTGTTTTTGTTTTTTAAATTATATGGTTGGGTTTATTATTCTGTTTTTCCTACCGTCAACAAATCGCCTTGAAAAGAGGAATAAGCTAAATATATGAAGCTCTAACTGCACAAGCAAAACTTTTGTAAAATCAGTTCATTGTTAATTTTGGGCTTTCTTGACAATAATTAAACATGAAATATCACTTATCGCCTTATCTTTTTAATGTGCGATGTATCGGTTTCTAGTCTAGAGGAGGCCTTCTGACCAGGAAACCACTATGCAGTACTCCATCACACAGAATGAATGACAAAGGTAACTCCTCACAAGTCTTTTACATTTTTGCTGCAGTAGAATGATTTTAATTGGGTTAAAATCCACACAACATCTTATTCTGATTTTACAACCCCAGAGTGCTCCGTAGATACTGGTGCTGAGCTGTCGGAGATTGATGCCAGGCTGCAGGCACTTCAGGAATACATGAGGGACCTGGATACAGGGCACTAACAACCACTGCACAACCTGCTGCATATGTTACCTGACGACTGCACAGCTTGGAGCTCAGGCCATCTTTTTTTCTTTATTTGTGTACTGTGCACAGTCTGAGGGACACGTGAAGCGTTTAAGAGACTACAAGTCCCTCTGGAGGATCAGCCTTCCAGGACTTCAGGGAACTACAGCCATCATCACTGTGAAAGACTACTTTTTTGTGGACTAAAATTATTATTTTTTTTAATATGCCAAGTTTTTATTAATTAATTTAAAAGACGACTGTCGAGTGTAGTGTCATCCTTTCTTTTTTACACCATCTAGTTACATGGATGTTAAATGTGGCAGTACCTCAGTCTGTGAGTCCGATTGTTGATATTTTCTTTCCTTTCCTTTTTTAAAAATGTGATGTTATGATTGACAGTATGGGTTGTGTTCTTTCATCCTCCAGATCCCTTTTTTTTAAATGGTTGATTATCTAAGAATTAATTTTCTCCCTGTGAGTGTGTGCATCATCTCGACCTTTTTTCAACACATTGAAGTTAAACATCCATAACCATAGACTGTTAAACCTGTGATGGACTGTTGTCTCTTCCACCCAGTGCATGCTGGGACACACTCTATCTTGTTTACTCTGAAGGGCAATAAGCAACTAGAGGACATGACTGACTGCATGCTTGTCATAGGATTTGGTGGTTAAATGTCATTCCAGCCAAAGTCTGTATTTTCCATCTGTATTTTGTAATGTATGTTCTCTCTCCTGCTCGACTTTAAACTCTACAGTGCATTTTTGTAGTTTGACTTTTTAACTAACTGATCCGCATACTGCATTAAACATTTTTTACTGTTTGAACCTAAGTGCACCAACTTTCCATTAGATGTTACATCCCATAAATCCCAATTTGTGTAAGGGAACAATACCCATCATCACACTGTTTTGGATTGACTGTGTTGGTAATCTATGTTGGTTTTTGTACCGTATGAACACTGACACCTTTTTTATGATAGTAAAACTGCCAAATTTTGTATGAAACTGCTGTTAAGTGCGTGTTACTCACTTTTTCCCCAGTCTGATGCCTTTTTGTACCACCTAAAAATATAATTTATAACAAACGTATCCTCTGTGTAAAGGCTTTTTTTGTGATCCTTACAGGTTTTTTTACATACTATTTTCCTTTGCTCTAGTGTCAGCTATAGTGGAGTCTGTGGGAAACCTTGAAGGGTTTCCACCACTGCAGCTGGCTTGCTATCATTAATTAACAAATAACCTTCTGGGCAGGGAGCCTTCCTCTCAGCGGAACAACTCGCTGTCTGAATGAACAGCTGCTCTGTTTCTACTGGGATCCTCAGGAGGGAGACGTGAACACCTTGTGTTGGTTTATGTCATGAAGAAAGAGTGCACACTGTGGCAAGGTACATATATTCATGATATCTATTTTAGAGGATTTTAGAGGATAATCTTGAAAAGAGGAGGAAGGAATTATTTTTCTTTGCATAAAGATTTATATATATATATATATATATATATATAAAATTGTCTTGTCTCTTCCTACAGGTCTCCTTCACAACATTTCCTAAGGGACATTTTTTGTAAAACCATGAAGAGAAAACACTTCTCTTCATCTCTTCTACCAAATTAAAAATAACACAAGGTCCCATTTCTGTTATTTTATTAATTTATTATAACAATTGGTACCAAACATATAAAATGATAGAGTAAAATAGTAAGGCATGTACGGTAAACATCCAGTGTGGAAACCACTAAATCGATTCAGACTCCACACCATATTTTTGGTATGAAGCAGTTACAGCTATTTGTGAACCTATTTGCGCAACCTAACTACATACCCTGTGTAAGTTAAAGTGCTCAGTGTGTTAAAGAACAAAACTGTCAGTCCACCTGAACATAATTATAACGGAGTACCTGAAATTCTAATTCTACAATATGTGATAATAAGATGCTGTTATGGTGGTATTGGTCCTTAGTGCATTCCTCTCTTTCTATACTGGTAAAACACACATTCAATATGAAATTAAATAAGGTCCTTGTAGTGTGAAGAAGAACAAAGGCATCTTTTTATTCCCTATCAAGACACAATTCCCTTGTTCAAGCCTGTCCAGGCTGGTTCACGGTGGTCACAGTGGTCGGCATCACTTGGTTTCGTCGACTGTTCAGTATGGCCTGAATGCTGAGCGTGAGCTATGGGGGGGAAATGATTGAAACATGAGAATTGGCTATTGGCATATAGATGTACAGATAGACACACACACTCACATACGTGTAGAAATGGCTTACTGATTGCTGCTGTGTGAGAACGTCTCGATAAAAGGCCTGTCTACGTTCCTGCTCCTTCTCATCACACACTTTCCAAAACTGAGCTTTGGTCATAACGAAAGTCTCCAGCAGCTGAGGATACTGTTGCCGCTGTAACATAAAGTAGAGAAGGTAATATGTAACATTAGGTTGGAGTTTATGAACCATTTGCATTGTTTTCTGACAAATAATGTGCTGCCATGCATTTAACCAAGAGCACACAGCTAAAGCTCACTGCTCAAGGCTCAACCACAAAGTAACACTTCCTGTAGAGCAGGAAAAAAAAGTTTTGACCTTTACCAACTTTCTTTTATAGATGATTATTTATGTATGGGATGGATCGAGATTTGTGTTGATGTTTGTATGAGTGATTATATGGTGAATTTGTGAGAATGGTTTGCTGAGTTATATTCTGAAAATCTAATTAAAAAAACGTAAACTACACCCTGTAGAAGCGGAGATTTCACTACTTGCACCTTGCTGAATTCTCTGTTATCAGTTCATTTCTTAGTTATGTCCTGAGACAATATAAACTTTAATATTGGTTCTCTCATTGATTCTACATTAAAAATCCCCTTGTTGTATTAAACCATTCAGTGTTGCTTTATGGTAATACTGGATTTTTACATTATTTTTGCATCAATGTACTTGAACCAGTGTATTTGTTATTTGATTATTCCAAAATGGATATTCCTGTCTGTTCATAGTATTACTTAAATTGCAACAAATTAACCAAAAGAAAATTTACTATTTTACAACATATATAGATATTTCTACATGGAATTACACATATAGTGACAAAGGATAACGTACATATTAGAGTGACTTATAAATCATTTTTCATTATGGATTGAACTGCCGATATGTTTCTGTTAATATGTCCATAAATTAGTGGAAAGTGTGATGTAATCAAATTGCTTGTTTTGTCCAAAAACTGTCCCAATAAACCCCAAAGATGTTGTCACATAAAAGAGAAAATCAGTCGTAACAATTGACAAACTGGAACTAGAAAATATTTGACTTTTTTGCTTTAAAAAATTACTTAAACGATCAATTCAATCCAAATAACCGTAGTTAACGACTTTAAGGTCACTCACCACTCGTGACATGTAGTCCTCGATAGTGTGAGACCTCATCCTCTGCAGCGACAGGAACGCCTCCGATACATTCATTCTGCTCTTGTTAAGCAATTCCTGCGAAGACATTTTTATGTAACACGTTGAATAAAACACAAACGTCACCAGCAGCAGTTCTACGAAAAGGTTTTAGAAAATTATATTTATTCATACCAGTAGCTGTTCATTTGTCTTCAAATTCAAGGTCTCCTGGCTGGAGCTGAGTAGAAGACTGGCTGTGTTTGACTGAGAAAAAAAAAACACATTTACATACAGTAAACACACAGAATTATAATGTAAAAAGTCTAGGGCATGTGATTTCACCAGATGGAGTCCTGATTCATTCAGCTCTTTACCTCAGCCTCATACTCAGCCCAGGCATCTTTGCGTTCTGCCTCACTGAGCTCCTCCTCTTGTTTATGGTCCAGCAGAGATTCATGCTCGTGGAAAGACACTATCTGGTCTTTACAGGTTAGTAATAGCTGTTCCAGGACTTTATCCTGAGAAGCAGACACAGACAGTCATTAAATACCCGGAAATAGTTTGTGTAAGCCTTTCTCAGACAGCTGTGTATTATAGTTTTGTGGCAGAAACCTAAAAAATAAAGATGGTGACGTCACCTTTGGCAAAACAGAGGTGGTTCTTTTGCTTTTCTTAGAGTTTGGGTCATACAGCAGGTCTGGCTCGAATATGTAAAGTTCAGTCAGTTCAAAAAGGGTAAAGTGTCTCTCAATCTGTTGCTGGTCCACCACACGATAGGACAAAGACTGCTTGGTCACCTGACGATCATAGATCTTCTCCTCCATGGTGCCCTGGAGGTTGAAATGACCACAATAATAAACAGGACTGAAAGGTTTATAGGTTCAGTCAGAATACAGCCACTCCAAGAGAACTTATTTTTTTGTTCCTGAATTGAAAATGTCTGGAAATGTATTCAGAATGTAATCTACAAGTCATTATATTCTTAATATTAAGGCCTAGGATATTACACAGAACTTCAGGCAGTGGTTGCAAACCTTCTTGATATGCGACCCTTTAAAGTTATGACCTCTAATCACAGGTTGCATAGGTTGTCTATGAGCTGTGAGCAGCAGTAAAGAGCCATCTTTTAATGTCATTGTGTAGATACTGAGGGCTTTGATTGCTATATGGTTGTCTTGGTCCATTAAATGATATGATATATGAAGGAATCAGTTGTTTTGTGCAAACAACAACATAGTAAAAATATAAAAGACATGCCAACAACTTTAACATTGCTTCTTTATAGTTGTATAATGATACAATATTTATGTATTCAAAGAGATACTTCTCAAATGTTAAAGTGCACAGGAAACAAATTAGTAACAGCAGTTGTTTCAGCTATGCAAAAGTATATGAAAAATTCATACTATATGGGAAATAAAACAACTATATGGGTTCATCCAATATATCGCCCAGCGAACAGTAACATTGATTATCAGAATGAACACATTTCCTCACATTTAGGTGATATTCCTAATGAAGACCAGTGAGCTTACCTGAGCCAAGAAGCGGTACACAAACACTTGTTTGAGCTGACCGAAGCGGTACACCCTGTATATGCTCTGTACGTCATATGAGGGATTCCATGAGGCATCAAAGATGATGACCCTGTTGGCAGCAACAAGGTTGATGCCAAGTGATCCGGCTCTCGTTGAGATAAGAAACAATCTGCCGCTAAAGCAAAGATCAGAAAAATACAATCAAACATTCTGTCATAATGGCCAGGTTGTCTATGTAGATGAAAATTGGCTCTCAATTGACTCATCTGGTTAAATAATGGTCAAATAAATAAATAAATAATCTTATTCCAGTATAATCAAAGATAGAAATAACAGGTAATCTGTACCGGACATTGGCAGCATTATTGAACTGATCTGCCCATTTCTTCCTCAGCGGAGCATTGGTGGAACCATCAAGACGATAGTAATCAATGTTTTTAATCCAGCTTCCTGCTGTGAGAACAATGAAGCACAAAAATTAAAAGTGAAGTAATATTAGACATTTCCAAAATTCAAGGTGCTGCCATAAACAGAACACCTTTCAATGATGACGGGTCTCTGGCACGGTGAGAAGCCTCCAGGAAATCCTCAATCAGGTCTAATGAAATCAAGGACTGACTGAACACAAGCCTAAAAACGCAAAGATGGATTTGGTTAGGTGTGATGTTGAATCAGCATCTAGACAGACTACATACAGTGTTTCTAATGTGGTTCAGATCAGAAAAGAAACATACACTTTATCTTCCAGTTCTTCAGCCATTCTGAGGATCTCAAACAAGAGCACCATCTTCCCAGAGTGCTCCAGGATTTTCGCGTCCCTTTCAGACACCAGATTCTTGAACCAGCCCGCTTCTTGACTTTGAGACGGCGAGCTGATGGTTGCTTTCTCTCCTACAAAGAATATAACACAGAATATAACACAGGGCAAGCTAGATTATTGTACAGGTTACAGGGGTGGAGAATTACTGACACATGGAGTTTTAATACCTTCCCCTGCTTGAGCGCCTGTAGAAAAGCCATTGCTGTCATCTTTGTGCCCTCCGTTCTCTCTCAGTCCACTATATCAGAATAAAAAAAGTGTATAAAAAGTGTACAAATGGCTTCAGAAAGTACACTTGCCCACTTTTACATTTTGTTTTTGACGCATTGTCTGCCACTAATCTACATGATACCTACTTTTTGGAACGTTTTGCTCGTTTATCAACCTACATTTACAGGAATATAAATCTTTTACATTTACATATGTACATGTGCTTCAATGCATCCTGTTTCCTTTAAACACAAGTGAGACGGCTCCAACATTGGCAAATGAACATGGCTTTCAAAAGCACATCGGGACAAGAAGCTCTCACAGGAAACAAATGAAGAGATAATAATTTGTTAAGGCAGAGTGTGATTATGAACATAGCAAGCCTTACCTCTCAGCCACAGCGGTTTCTTCCTTTCTTAGCAGAGCTTTTTGTTGTTTCTTCTTTTTAAAGTATCCCTGTAATTTAAGTTCAGTTAAAATCACTTGACATTATCAACACAGGAATAAGGAATCAACACGCACTCATGGTTTTTCTCTACCTTGTTTTCTCTGCTGATTTGGCTGAGCTGAAGGCACCAGGGATGAGTCCAAATTCGGCCGAGCACCTGAAAGTCTTTGAACAGGTTTGCTCCAGTCTTCACATGTGCTCTGTCCGTCATGGAACCCACACCTGGAAAAACAAACATGCATCTGCTTTAGATGGTCGAACATCTGTGAAACGCCCAGTTTTAATGAAGAGACTGTTTTTTTAAAACACCATTACTGAAATGATGATGATCATTTTTTAATATGATCTTAATGTCTTTAATGATTTAGTGAGTTGGATGAGTTACATGATAAGTAAATGTCAAACATCTGCCAGGTCATCATTAAGACAATTACGAACACTACGAATGAAAAAAATAATATCTCACAATTTAAATAATTTAACACAGGAACACATAAGCGTAATACTAAACTAGAGCTCTGGAAAGAAATAATATGTCTCCATGAAATAATCTTGACCAATAAATATGCAGATTTCTGAGACTATTTTTAATGTCCTACAAGGGCAAAAATCACACCACACCACACCATCTCTTTAACATATACAGTTTTCTTCTATAATCAATGTATATCTACATTACTTAAAGAAAAAATGTAAAGACTTACCAGTGAAGTGGTCAAGGTAGTAGCGGTACAACTTATACTGAAGTGGGGAAACCCTCACTGCCAGCACATACTCGTGTTTGGGAGGTAGGAACTGAGTCAGCTCTGAGTAATCTCTTCTCTAAGAAAACAACAAACCCGGCAGATAAGAGCTGGAATATAAAACCAAACTGTACATATACAGACAGCCTGCAGCTGGCAGTGATATTTTCTTTGTTTTACCTGCACACATCCAGCCAACATAGCATGAAGTACATGTGCTCGCTTCTTCATGATTCGAACGTCTCTAGGTGTGGAGTCCGCACACTGGCCGTTCTGTATGGGGTTGATGAAGCGGTTTCGGAATTCACCCAGTGAGCCCAGAAGATTCTTCTTAATGAAATTGACCATGCAGTGATCTGTGGAAACAAAATACGCTATAACATAATGCCTGCACTTAATTTACTCACTTAGACCTAAAAGTGACTAATTGTTACGGTTCGTCCACACAGGATGCCTGAGCAGTGGATGACGGCTGCCTCACTAAACTTCTGCGGCTCCCACGCCTGAGGTGGCTGCTCTAATCTGTTAACATGGGCACCGAAATAAAAAACAAGACAATCCACCACACTGTGGATGCAAGCAGTGTGGACCAGGCTTTATGGTACTGCAGTTTTGGTCATCAATGACAAGTGGTTTTGTGTTTTTGAAATACTTAGAAATACTGAAGGATGCATTTTAAGAAAACCTTTAGCAATCAGCATCTGTCGGCTGGTTTTCCAAAACCAAAATCCACCTAAGAAATAAAACGGTGAACCTAAATGTTTTGTGTATTCCAGTTTATATATTGTTATGACCCAAGTGTGAGTTATAGAAAAACATCACAATTCTCATAAACTGGTGACTACATCCTAGAGCTCTTTAAGCAAAGTGTGGCCTCAGGCAATAGTCAATATGACGGAGTGGTGTGGACTTACACTCGACCAGGTTGTTTTGCAGTGGTGTGCCAGTTAGCACCACTCTCCGTCGGGTCTTGATGGCATTCATAGCTTTGGAGATATTGGCTGCCTCATTGCGCAGGATGTGCCCCTCGTCACAAACCACAAAGTCTGGGCCTGAAAAAACAAAACCCAGGAGGTAAAAAAAACAACTACAGATCAAAACACCTTCAATGAGCCAAGTACTGACACATAAATCAGACAACATTTTAATAATATCCCGCCATTACACAGTTACTGTACCTGGATCCACCAGTATGCTCTTCATCTCTCTCTTACTCTCCACGTCCTGGATTTTCTGGGCTAGCGACAGGATGCGGTACATCTCGTACCCCATTATCAGGACACCTCCGTCTCGCTGCCACCTCTGCAGAGCTCTGACTCGTTCTGGAGGATGTTTTATTGTAGCCAGTTCTGTAACCTGTAACGTACAGTGTGTGTCTGAACAATAACCACATATGGACATGTGCGTTTGTACAGGCAAAGAGCGAGACGTAAAGAATCTGAAGCACAACATTTAGTATTGCCCACTTATGATTTCACCCATTTAACTGCTTTACATACTTTTACTTTATCCTGTCCCATGTTGTCCTGCCATTTCTTAAACTCGCTGACCCAGTTGAGAATAGTATTAAGTGGGCACACGACCAGGGCCGTTCTGAATTTCAGGTTCTCCGACAGCAGCACCGTGTGGAGGAACGTTACCACCTATAAAATACACAGCTATGAATATAAACAGCACAGACAATTGACCACAGATAAAAAAGCATAGTCTGATGGGTGATGTACATCCAGAAGCATGAAAATCATGTTGATTTCAAGATGCAAAACATGTTTGGTGTATTAATTTGTCTAGTATAAATCAAAGAAAAGAAGAGTACTGGAGGTGAATATGTGTATGTCTTCACCTGCAGAGTCTTTCCCAGGCCCATGCAGTGTGCCAGTATACAGCCTGATCCAGGAGAGGAGTTGGCCTTCTTCACAGACTCACAACAACTGTCCCAAATAAACTGGACACCTGTTGGAGAATAAAGAGAACAGTATTTATATAATATTTGTATTTGTAAAAGTCTACGTCAAATACTGCTTAAAAAATTATGCTGTGTGCCATTTGCCACAGATCAGTTCACATTTTTTTGGATTCACTGATAACCAACAGTTCCTTATTTCTCAACTTCTTCTTCTTGGAGATATTTGTGTATTCACTCATCTGAATCTGTCAAACACAGTGTCTTTGTCAGTGTGTGTTGTCAACCACCATCTGTACCATCACCTCAATGTAAGTGAAAAGAGAGCACAAACTAACCGTCCACCTGATGAGGTTTCAGTCTTGTCACAAGGTTCCTGTGCACCTGAACAAGAGGCTTCTTGGTCTCCTCATCCTGATCCAGAACCAGTTTGGTGGTGATGGGACACACAACTTGAGTCAGCTCATCCCCTATAACAATTATCTGGAAAACAATGCCGGTCAGTCAGCATTTTGTCTGTTTTCTCCTCTTCTTAGAAAACCCCAAAACGAATAACAAGTGCTAGTATCAGAAACAAAATGTTCATATACTGTGCTTATTATGATTTATCAACAGGGATACAGCATCTTACGCGCAACACTACTGTAAACGTTGGTCATTAACTCAGTGACGTTTAAAGGTCAGTTTGAGCTGCTGTGTATGCAGTACCTCTCTCCTGTCCTCCATCTGTTGTTCCCTATCTGCCAGCCGTTTGCATCTCTCCTCCTCCTCTCTGAGAGCTTCCTGGGTCTCTGTACGGAGATTCTCATCTTCAATGATTTTGCGGATCTTTTTGCGTCCTTTGGGGGTGCCTTTACTGTCGCTCATCTCATCTGCATCCTCTTTATCACTCTGCCCAAATACAGAAAGATCCCACAAGCAATATGAGCATTAGATGTTGGAGACTTGAAGGTATCAGGGATGAGTACATGCAGATAAACAACTTTGTTATAATATCAGCTGCAACCTTTTCACTGCTGGAGTCAGTCAGCCAAATGCAGGGCACTTGTTTCTTCTGTTCGTTACTACGGGGTGACTCCTTCTCTTTAGTGGACCTAAAAAGAGAGACGCATCAGATATTAAAATGAAGTACATGCAGATAGAAGATACAGATGTACTGGTACTGCAGTAACATTATTCAGTATTTCAGAATATTTTAGTCATCTGTGACTTGCATTTCCATGTTGTCATCCTGGAAAGAGGACCACAATGGAAAAAAATGGTATATTGTATATTAGTGTTTATACACTAACATTATGTGTTCATCCTCTCTGTTCTTTTAAATGAATATGTATGAATTTATCACAATGTTTGACAATGTATCTATTTGAGATGTCAAACAAATAAAATAAAATCCAAAAAATATGCATTGTTTAAACTTATTTTAAACTTAGTCAGTGTTACAGACAAAATGGGTTTGCTTCAGACAATATTTTTGGTTTTTCAAATAACATGAAGTTAATAATTTAGTGTAAAAATGTGATAATTCTCTGCCGCAGCAAGAATGTTGAAACGTGAAAGAATTCAATCTTCGGTGAGTTGTGATAAGTTTGTTTATTTTACTGCCAATAATTCTGTACTCCTGCTTAAGTAAAATTATGACTGGACTTCTACTGTATATTTAATAGAATATAGATGTTTTGTTGTTGGCTTGTAATAGCAGGAAAATCACAGGTGAAATTGGTAACATTAAAAACAACTACTTTCTAGTTAGGTGAGCTGCTTCCAGGCCTCTCGGATTCTGCAGGCTTACTGTCATTGAGCCACTTGAACACTTAATGGAACTGAGCCATCATTAACCAAGTTAGTTTCTAGTTAGATCTGAGCATTTCCTGTTATGACAAGTCAAAATCTGCCATAAAGAAAGGTTATTATTCCATTGTGGTGTTGATGCTTTTACTTAAAGGACTTGAGTACATTTCTCAGGGTATTATATTACCTTTTGGACCCATTTCCGCTGGCCTCATCTTCTGACTGACTCAGCTCCTCACTCATCCCAACATCCTCTGGCTCCGACTTGTTACTGTCACCATCACTTTCACTGTCAGCTTGACAGAAAGACAGATATTAGAGCAAAGTAGGCACTCCCTGTTCAGACAGATCAGCGTCAGATGTTAGAGGTGTTCTTACAGCTCAGGTGTTTGCTGCTGGCTCTTTGCTTGCACTCCTGCTTCCCTACTTCGCTCTCTGCCGCAGCCTTGTCATTTGACGTTCCCTCATCTAAAGTTAGTTTGTGGCGGAGGAGATGGTGCCTGGCGTTGGCTCCATCAGACGTGGTGTCAGACGGCTCTGAAGTCAAATCTTCCCCTGCAGCAGAGATGTATTCTATTATCATTTCCCCTCCTTTATAAGTCACAGAAGGCACCTGAGAATTGGGAAACTTATAGTCCCAATATTTGTTGTAAAATAGAAATATTAAATGCAATTTATATATTGATTAAAAGGACTAAAACTGGAAAATATTTGTGCTTATAGAGATGCACAAGAGGAAAGCTAAAAATGTGCTACTAAAAAAAAAAAAAAAAAAAAAAAGACTTACCATTTTCATCTGTTCCATTGTCCTCGTTGCTTTGTTTGACCTCGTCCCCCTCAGACTCAGACTCATCCTCCTGTGTTTCCTCATCCGTAGAGATTTCATCACCGGAGGAGTAGTTGGCTTTGATTTGGGCCAATAGCATTTTCTTAGCGATTCTTTCAAAAGTAGAAGAGAAGGAAAAGGGACCTGAAGTTCATTTCATGATCAGTAACAATGTCTTCAGCAGGATATTGTCAAACAAAATCACAATAAAAGTGTAGTAGCTGTTAGGACTTGGATTGGATATTTAACCAGAATCACTCTTGAACTGCTGTTCAGGTGCCAATAGTCCTCGTGCTGTTGGCTGCTTAAATATTAATTCTATATCAGACATGTTATGTAAGTCACTTCTGCCAATATAAAGCTCCTCTAGTGAAGTCACAGACCAACTGAAGTGAACTACCACGACACTAGAAGATAAACATATACAATAATTGCAGAAAAAAAGCAAGATAAAAATGAGACAGAGACATCTTAAGAGTAGGAATTTATTACAATAAACAAGTATTCTTCACATAAAAAAAAAAAAAAAAACATATTCTTAGTTTATTCTCCTTTGGGGAACTTGGAGGAATACTTTCATTTTTTTCACTTTTTCTTGCTTGAGTCAAAATTAAAATTAAATAGATTTCTAGTGAGAGCTACATTATTTTTGAACATAAACTGAGCGCTGACTGGAGGGCAACATCTTCCTCTGGTACTAACAGCCAAATAATATTGTGTTATAAGGGGGAGAAAAACATGGCACACAAAAAAAAATAGCAAATTATTAATGTCTGTACATAAATATTTACTTGTGTACATGTTATCTCAACTGTTTTTAACCCCTTTAAACTAAAATAAAAGGGGAAATTATGCACATAATCCGATACAGTTCACGATAAACATGAGGTTTAAAAAGGTTTATGGTTTTAATACCATAGTGTTTTGACCACTCAGTCCGCACAATGAGTTTCCCTTCAACATCTACCAGTGTTCAACATGCATTTCCCAACACGGGGCTGGAAATACCCCCTGACAACCGGGGCCATGGCTCTGGCTTGAGTTCATCTACTCTCCCATCAATTGTCCATCCTGCATTAACCCTTTCCCACCAAGCAACCTGCATTGTGCGCCCAGGTCCGAGGTTGTTAGTGCAGGTCACTGGACACAGGATAACTGCCATTTTCGCTTAAATCCAACATCCAGTCTGTAGTGAAGACACTGGGATGTTACTGTATATGGCGTTAGTTCAGGGGCTCAGAGTTTATTGTAAAAGACAAGACGACAGCAGCTGTAACAGACCGGAGCCTTGGATCTCATTTGACATGTTTCAACTGGGAAAAAGGACGAAAAAAAAAAAAAAAAAGCAGAAAAACACTGAAGAAAATTAACACACTGCCACACATGAATTTGGCATTATGGCCACTGGTAATCACATACTGTGTGAATTTTAAAAAATGGAATAGGAGGGTACTTTTAGCCCACTAACTACAAACAATGTAAACTTTACATTTCTGCTGACCATTTTTCTAAAGATAAAGTTGTGCTACGACTACAGCTCAAAACAGACTTTAGGGAAAAAAACGACTTGGTGCCAAAAGGAGGCTACAATATCCCAGATTTAAGTGATTGTTGCCTAACAGCACTGCATTCACTGCTGTGCTGTCAGAAAATCCGACCTGGAAAAAAACATGAGAGACAAACATGGATGTCATTAAAAAGGCACAGTGTGAATTTGGTCGCTTCTTTTGCATTATAAAGGTTGTTGTTTCACAGCCCACTCTCAATTCTCAGATATACAACTTCTCATTAACATGTGAAAGCACTGACCTGGAAGGCTTTTTAACACAAATTGTTTTTATCTGCATTACTTAAGGGCGAAAAAAAACGACAGCTGGTTCACCATGTCAAGCAGCATTTAAGGCTCTGCAAGTTTAAATATGGTAAAAATCGTCAGTCGATACGGTATGCTTTAGAAAATGGTCAGCAGTAATGTATACTCTGTGCATAGAAAGTGGGGTAAAACATACAAAAACAATGGTATGGTTGCGATGAACACTGAGGTCTGTAAATTAGTTTGATTAACTAGGACTTTGTCTCCAGAAAGAAAAGTTTCAAAATGCATTCCTCAGCTCTGAGCATGGATCCACTGTAAGAACTGGATACATTTTACCATGCCGGTGCCCATTCCTAGGCCTTCCCTACTTTTTGGGCAACAGTGATTATACAAAGAGTTATGTCTGCATGCATGTGACAGTAGTTTTTCTTCATTGTTTTACAGCTGTATCTTTGGTAACGTTTTGTATGGGGAGCAGTTGTTACAGAACCCACGTCTTCCAATTTTGATGCCGAAATCTGCACAAACCCTTCGCTGTTCCTCTGGGTTTGATCAAACAAAATTTCATCCACCTCCACTGTACTAGGGTGGTACTAATCTCAGACCTCTCAAAACCTCAGCAGATAAAACTGAGACTGTATGCATGGCTAGATACTAGTAGAAGTACAGTAGTGGGAAATTATGTCTTTTTAATGTGAATGGGCCAGTCTCTGTGAAAGCAGAACTGTCGGACAAATAAAATAACTAAAAGAATAAAATGTTTTTGGTAAAGGACACAAATCCTGACAAACATCTCACCTCTAATCACTACAGTAGCATATTGCATATATACAAGTGCAAGTTCTCAAACTCCCAAGCTGCATGTGCATTTCAAATATTACAACACTAAAAAGATACAGACAAACCTAAGATCAGCACTATATAAGTGTGTGCAGGGGAAAGTAGCAGCAATATATAAATAATATATAATTGATCAACAGGCTGAACGACAGCTCCACCCATCATAGCCCAAATAATTACATTGGGGCAATATCATCTTATCATTGAGATAATTTGGGGAAACAGCCCCTGGTCCTAGAACTTTTATTAGAAAGTCCTGACACAGTCAATGAAGCTAGTAATACACTCCATGTGTCAGACGCTCTGACATAATTCAATACAAATGAGCATTCAAAGGCCTCCAGTGAACATCACCCTGCTGTAAAGCTCTCACTACATCAGGTGTGATTGTGGGACTGTGAGCGGCCCGGCAGGACGGTTATTTGTAGTTTCTCAAACTTTAGTAATACACTTTTCTGAAAAGGCAGTATTTCTGGATTCCAGAGCTAGTAGCTTGCATGTGAACTAGTTTCAAAAAGAAGACCAGGTTACATACCAGGTTATTACAATGTATTATTCATAATGGTAGCAAAGTGCAAATTACCAGAGCCTTCATGCTGATGCCTTCAATATATATATATATATATATATATATATATAAATATATAAAAGCAAAGCACAATTTAACAATCAAATTGGTGTCTATCATGATTTGCACATTATAAAACTCAACACCATTAGAAGAAAAATTGTTTATGGTGTTTTTGGAGAGTTTATTACCAGAAAATGTTTCTAAAATTATCAATTTTTTTGTGAGTTGGACAGTGAGAGCAGCCCTATAACAAATCCTGAGATTCACAGATGTTCACGATACCATCATTATAGTCTTTTTCAAAACAAAGTAGTCACTCAAACAATGTATCACTGGCATCAAACAGAAGTCCATTCGTGAAAACACATCCCTAAATGAAGCTCAAGTCCTGCGTAGAAAAATAACCAAATATATTTTGTGGCCAGAATGAATAGGGGCTGTAACAGGAAGGAAATGTAAGTTTTGTTTCTAAAAAGATCTCAAAAGATGAAGAACATTGAAGCTAAATTGTATTTACAGAGCCAGGTACATATATCTAGCAAACAATGCTTCTGCCATGTTATCTTAGGTAGGCTTGAAATTACATTGTCACACCATGACTGTGATCCACGTGGGGCTCATTTTAGAGCACAATATAAAAAAAACATGTTTAAGGTGAAGCATAAAACTTTTATAAATGCTTACAACGTTGCAAGCTTTGCCTACCATAAGTGAACAAAATAAAACATTCACAATGTTATTTAGTTTTTTAAATGCAACTGTGTGCACATAATCTTGTAGGCATGATCCAAACTTTATACTTCACCTGTAAATAACAATATTCAACCTACTAAAGTTAACAATGCGGCTTAATTTAGGACAACAGTTCTTTATGCATTCTGTAATAACACAGAACTTTCTGAGTATGTTAAAATACTGTCACTAAAAAAAAAACTGTGATACCTGTAAGGCAAAATAAGTTTCATTCATTGCACAAACGTATGCTCAGACCTCTTCAACTGGGTCGACTGAAAGGATTTCCCTTTTGTATCAGCTCAGTATGCCAGGGAAAGAATACAAATATGGTATTAGAAATACTTATAATAAAACTCTTCATTAAAATCTCTCTATCATTTACATGTACAGTGGAGTGAACACTAAATAAAACACAGTATGTTGCTCATCATTCACAGGCCTGTTCTAGGTTCAGTCTCACTGCATCATAATGTGGGCTTCACAGTGTACCTCTAGAATGTGTATTTGATTGCTGGGGCTCTACTGCAGCTACGTTTTGGTCTTGTCTGAATAGGCTGCAACTGAGTCTTAATGGCACGCGTGTTGCTAGATTTGGCACAGAAGTCAGGTTTCGAAGGCGCAGCCTTTCTTCCACACCTAGGGTGTTTAACAGACTCTACACCCAGGCTTTTTGAACCATACCTATTTTCTGGATCGTCATCTTCTTCTGCTGCCCACGAGGGCTCAGATTGCTCCTCATCTCCTACAAAAACAAAAAAATTAGAAACACAAATTGTTTAATTAACAAGTCATGTTGTTTCAGCAACGAAATAATGTATTATCAGAACAAGTGAACTGAAAGCTGCATTATATTGACATGCCAAGAAACTACCTAATATTTATTATCCTATATGAAATACGCAGACTGCTTGTCACAGAATCCATTCAGCAGAACGTGGCCCTGACAAAATCCCCTGAGACAATCTGTGGCTAAAGGCAGATGCATACACAGACAGCTGTGGACACCACAGAGGGATAGTAGTTCTGTTCATACTACTTTCTGGAATCCACTTCCACACTGTGGTGTTATCATGCAGAATGTCTACGTGGTCACATCAAATTGGGGGTACGCAGATGTCCGCACAGAGCTTATGCATATGGCCACTATCGACGAAATTGACGTCATACTGACCCTAGCCTAACCCTTTCGTACTCATAAATGTGCAAAGTATAATTCCTGTTAAATATATTGGTTGCTTGTTCAGCATCAGTCTGTTTGTCTGTCTGTACTTTACAGGTTACTTTGTAGTCTTTATACCCTTGCCAACATCAGAGCACTTTTCTTTTCTCATTACTTTTCTGTTCAAATGTGAGTCACACCTTTGTCGCAGCATTTTGACATAGCAGTATAGGTGGAACTATAACATTAATTACAGCAATTATTCTAATACACTGCTGCAAGTAAATAATATTATTAGCTACACCTGTCTTTAAGACTTCAGAGTTTCACTTCACATTTTCCCTGCTGGTCATACGTGCCCTCTAGCAATTGCTTTGGTTTATTAATAATAGCATGACATCACAGTCCAGTAAACCCAGAGGGCAGTTGAAACTAGCATTAACCATTTAGTTTCCACCAGTACATAGGCAAACTAGTCATCTACTTCTAATAACCATTGACAAGATATAATGTAGATCAACAACAACAACAACAACAACTCACCCGATGATTGGTGGAATGTCGCTCCCCCCAGTAAGGTCACATCTTCAGTAATTGGCTTCATCTTCTGGTCACTTCCGTCACTCCCAGAGTCATCATCGTTATCATCTTCGTCTGATGAGGACGACGACTCTGTTGCTTCCTGACGAGCTTTAGTCTTAGACTTCCCAGCCTGCATCCTACCCTGTTTTCTAGCCACCCCTTCGTCCTCTCTTTTGACGAGGTGAGCCTTCCCTACCGACCTCAGCATATTCAAGTGTTTTATTTTCTTCTGCGAGTCTTGATCATCACTAGAGGAATCCGACCCACTTTCCCTTCGAGACTTTACTCTTCTGTCGCTTGAGTCAGACTCCGGGGAACAGTCCAGCATCTTGCGTTTGCGGCGCATCTTTTCTGGTGAGATCGGGGTGTTCTTAGTGAGCCAAAAGAGACATTTCTTTGCCACCTTGGTTGATGCTTTTCCACCGTCCTCATCACTCTGGGGCTCATCGGAGCTTTGTGATATAGCTGCTCGCGCAAGCAGGGCTGCAGGGACTTCATCTGAGTCAGAGTCGTCTCTTGCTCTGCTCAGACTTTGTTCTTCAGTGTTTTTGGCTGGTACTGTGCTGGAGGTTTCCTCTGGGTCAGAGTCACTGTCGCTGTCTGCTGCCGAAAGAGACGTTTTGCCCTTGACATCACTTTGTCGACGCAAAGGTGTTGTCTTCACGCGAGGAGATCGTCGGTTGCCTTGTTCCTCTTCTGGATGTAGAGACGCGCTGGAGTTGTCATTGCTCATCTTGCTGTCAGCTTTAGCACCTACAACACCTGTCTCTTCATCTTCTGATATATAATGTCCTTCTGACTTCAAATCTTTCATGTTGGTGTCCTTCTCCATCTTCGGGGCATCAGAGGATTGCTCCCGCTCCATAGGTACAGGTGTAAGTTTTACAACAAGTTTTTTAGTCATGTTGACCCCACTTTCAGAAGGCTTCAGGCCAATCTTGTGTGCCCTCTGTCTGGGTTTGTGTGTATTTGAATCTATGTCTTCCCCAGGGCAGTCATGTGCACTTCTCCCATCTGTGAAGCCCTTGGAGTCAGAATCATGATCTACCAAATGTTCAGCTGCCAATTTTTGCAAGTCATTCAAGCATCTTTCATCAGAGATGTCCAGCTCTGTGTCTGCTTCTGTTACAGGTTGTGGATCAAAGCCCTCACTGAGGAACTTTTCCCAACAGCTTAGGAGATCCAAGTCACTGAATTCTTCCTTAAGGCTGTCCTCAAGTGCTGCAAGTGATTTTCGCAACCCTTTAACTACAGACAAAAAAGAGTTCAGATACAGATTGCGAACAGCGGGTGTCCGTTTGTTCGATGTCACAGAATGAATGAAATTGACAAAAGTTCGGTTTAAGATGTTTGTTGAGTCCACTAAATGTTTGGCCCTTTTGGTAATATCCTTGGAAATCTGCAGTGTGCTATAGTTGAACACCACATTACCATCCATACCCGTGTGATCCCATTTATCCAAAGGAACGTTCTGTGGTAAGTGTGGCAATATGTCATAAAGTTCAGATTTCTCCGGGCCTACTCGGTTCCTCTTGCGCTGCTGATGCCACAGATTCTCCATGTTCTCAAGGACACTGTCACAGGCCATCACCAGGTCAAAAAGGGGCTCCGGGCTACACACATAGCAGTACCATTTGCTCTCCAAGATGCCAGACAGCTCCTTCCTCCCCAAATTTCTTAGAATACACTTCTTGCAGAAGGCATTGCTACAATAGTCACAGCAGATCAAGTTGCCTCCTTCAGCACACCATCTGCGTAAGGAAAAAAAAAAAATCTAATAAATACAGTCAATAAAAGCTTAGTTAATAAGAATGATTATATTTCAAATAAAATATTAAATACAACACATCCTACCTGCATTGCTCATCCATTCCATCTCCATCCTTACTGATGTCATCACTTAAGTAATACTTGTAGCAAGACTGACAAAAACAAAACGTTTAACGGAAGAGTTACAGACAACTTGCATGAAAATTATATTACAAAACATGCAAGGAATTTTTTAGAAAGATGTAAAAAAATCTATGTATTAGCAATGATTTGACTTATTACAAAAATTGTTTAAAACTGAATTTATTAAATGCAAGCAGGAAAGGACAATGAGTGGTTTAAGTGCACACTGACTTTAGCTTGCATAATATATTTTATTACAATGACGCACTCAAAAGAGCTGACCCAAATGGTTCGGAGGAGCTTTGAACCTTGCCATGGTAATCGAAGTCCAAATCAGTATTTGAATGCTTTGTTTTGTTTTTTTAAAGATAGGTCAAAACCTGCCCCATTACCACATAAACTTTACTTGGGCGGGCTGCCCAGGTATTTAACGGCCAGCAAACCCATATTATCGTTTTGTAGAGAAACAGAAGCGTTATCTGGTTTTAACACGGACACAGTGGATATTTTAAAAGCACAGACCAGGTAAAGCATTCTGTACCACGTTTCGACAGACAGCGTCGTCAACAACAAGCCTGCTCCTTACACCTCCTTTTTTTGGGCAACTTTTATTTAAAAAAAAAAAAAAAAAAAAAAAAAACACACTGTTGCTCCATACTGGGAGAAAGAAACGGAGTGGGGCCAGACACACAGACACACAGACACAAACAACACAGACACACACACAGACACACACACACACACAGACACACACACACACACACACACACACACACACACACACACACACACACACACACACACACACACACACACACACCTCAGGGATCGTGATGGCTTCACAAGAATTTAGACAGAATTTTAGATATGGTTCTTGTTAACTGGTTTTAATTTACAACATCTTAAACAGCAGCTGTATGTTGAAGATTTCTGTAAACAGAAGCCAGTCGGTCTGCACTTTAACACATGGTTCATATCAGTACTCATCAACATGAATTAAAATAAAAACTAGTAAAATGAATCAGAATATCCCTCTGAATGATTGTTTCGGGTAAATGAGCAGACTCACCTTGCAAATAAGTACTTTGAGAACTGGATGTCGATAGAAGGAATCTCTCTGGAAGTGGTTAACTTGGCGGCCACATGCGGTGCAACTGACAATTTCCATGTGTTCAACTCCTATGAAAGCACACCACTGTCATTAGCAACAAAATTGTTATAATTATTATTTGATTACTTGAGAAAAAAAAAAAAAAACAGTGTGAGGCTGTTCAATCTCTACTTTAATCCATCACATTCTCCAGGCAAGATGTCCATGAGCAAGACCACAGGTTAGGATACAAAAACTTGCCGTAAGCAGTGCGGAGGGTAAGTGAAGCACTGGGAGCAGCTTTTTCTCAAAGTCAAATCAGTGATCTTTCTCACAAGATAATGATCAAGCTGCATTTAGACACAAACTAAAGTGAATTTTAAGCTCTCTTTGACCACTAGAGTGTTTTTACAGTCTGTGTCTTTGTCCACAAACAATAAACAAACAGTAACCAAAGTGCCTTCTTTTTGTTTCATTTGTTCCTAAATTAAGTTCTATTATTCTGGAGAAATGGCTGGTTAAGTAAAGTGATGTGCAAGAACAATATCCATCAGTAGTTACTGACCCCCACGTCTTCTTGAAAACTCTTTCCGCAGTACGCCTGTTTTTCGGCTGCGAAACTCTGGACCCCTGAAGTCATCTCTTCCATTATCAACAGGTTCGGGCCTCACCAGTACAGTGCCTGTGTAAACAAAACATACCCCCAATAAATACAATACAAAATACATCTTGTAGACAGAAAGACCAGAAACACATACAGGTACTCAAGAACTCAGAAAGGACAACAATCAACCCCCCAAATGTCCACAGAAATACAAATTTGTATGTAAAACTGTACTGAAACACACACTGGACACCAGTCCCAAATAGACATTACTTGCACAGGAAACGTTATGAGTGAATACGGGGAATTACAGTAGGAAAGAGTTAAAACGTACCTTTTGGCAATCTAGTGACATCAAGGTGACCATTTGCACTGACTGGTAAATCCAAGTCTTCACTTTCATTTGAATCCCCAGATTCATCCAATCCAGAGTGCTTTATGACAACAGATGGTTTTCTATAATATCAGTAAAACAGAACAAATGTAAGTCAGATAGCTTAGTAACATCCCCACAGGTTGGCAAACTAATTAGACAGTGAAAAAAGAAGCCACTTTGGTTACAAACGTTTTTTAAAAGTGTCAACCAAGCATAAGCTTATAGCAGTGTAAGATTATCATTGTTATTCCATCTGATTATCATGACTACGGTTTCAAACGTTCAACTTGGTTTGAGCTCAAATAGGACACAATGCAACACATTGCATTCACTTTAATTCAACATACAATATTTCCAACAATAAGCTGCATTCAATTTGGACTGTTTCATACCATGGTGCTTGATATCTGCTTGCAGGGTACAAATGAAATGCTAACTCACCTCCTTGAGTATTTGGTATCCAGTCGTGCCTACAAAGCAAGACAGTTCATTAGATTAGTTGTCACTGGTTGTAATTAGTGTTACTTTTGGTGTTGAAACCACTACAGTAATCTCCCAAAGGGTTCTCACTCAGAGGCAAATATTTTGTTCATACAAACAATTTCATTCAAGGAGATACGAGTCTTGTAAATAAATCATTACAGGACACAACAACATCATTTCCCTAGAATTCTGATTGCACAGGAAGTACGGCTCTACAGTTCAGAGAGCAGAAAACACAAATTATTGAGTAGTTCAAAGAGACCATGGAAGATTGAAAAGACTGAGATTGTGCTATGTTTAATACAACAGTGACCAGGAGATCTTAAAGCAATTGAATTAGACACCAGTTCATTCATAAAGGACAATAATTGTTCACTTTTCTAATGCAAGTTTTGCATTTGGACTTCAAGGCATTTAAGGCATTTTATAACAAAAGCTCTTCACTTTGATTTAGTCCAGCTTTAACGGTTATTTGAAAGTGCTGTGACTAAATACCAAATATGACAGTAAAGAAAAGAATAAAAGCTCAAAGAAAAAGTCCAAATGAGACCAAATTGTGTGCTGGATCCAGTTTAAAAGTTACTTAACAGGGGGCATGACGACAAAAACACCAAGAATATTCAGTTACCTCTGCTGCAGCATGACCTGTTGAGTTCCCCACAGAAAAGTTCCTGTTTGTCAGATCTGTGAAGAGAAGATCAGTTCAAATGTAAATAAAGCATGTAAACATGATAAAAAACATTTCCATCACTCATCATTAGATTAATCAAAAACTTACCATCAGCATCCGCTGAAGTTGGCGTGCCATTGCTGTCCTCAACAGCAGAATGAGCCAAGAATTCGTGCAGTTTGTTGACCAATACATTGAGCTTGTTAGTAGGGGTGCTACATTCAAGAAAAAAAACAAAAGAGAGTGGTTATGGTAAACTTGACAGACATATTCAAGGTCTTGATTAAAAGCCTGATTAATAAGCTCTGTTAACATTAATAATATGAAGTGAACTTGGGGGAATCAACTGTTTTCTGTCCAAGAGACTATTAAATATCAACTCAAATCCAATTCAACCTCTACAGCTCATCTTTAACTGTCCAGCACAATAGTAGACACCGATTAGGAATATGGAAAGAAAATAATAGGTTTCATAAAGTATTATGTTTCAGCTTCCCACAAAGAGTGACAAATGAAACCTGTTGACAACCTGACAAAACACATTTCAAAGGTTCCATCGAATGCAGCTAAGCAATGCAGACCCAAATCGCAGGACACAGCTTGAACTCTAAAGCTCTCAGTATCCAAAGGTTTAATCCTTGTGAACGCAGAAAGTCTTCCACATATTTATGTTCAAGTGATCATTATCAGTCATCACACGAGCATATCACTAGACCAATGAAAATGCCATCACAGGAGACAAAAACAGAAGCCAGACATCAACTCCAATGTTTAGTTTTTTTTCTAGCAGCCCAAATATTTTAATGTTTATCATAGCATGCTACATAAACATGGAAGTTACATATGTTAATCTGATACACTCCTGAAAGTACACAATGAAACTTCCCGACTCACACTGTAAACCTGGGTATTGTGAGCTGTGGTTCTTTGTTGACTTCTGAGGGAAACTTTACTGCTGTTGAACTTTTTAAATAACTGACTGAGAAATTGAGAAACACCTAAATGCTCCCTAGCTTCAGTGTCTGTGAAGCTGCGACGTCTCACCTGGGGAAGAGGCACCAGCTCTAAACAAGGTAATGAGAGTATAAAGGACCACAACACTGCTAATGAAGCTGTTTAAGTGGGAGGGAATATAAAGTCATCTGTATTGTCCAGTGCTGTTTTGAGTATATTTCAGATTTACATAGACTGTCCTCCTCGTGCCGCAGCTCTTACTGGAACATGTTTACAAATGAAGAAACTAATAAGGTTTTATCAGACTGCAATAAACTCTCCCTAAATTACCATTATAATGCTCACTGTTTGTTTTTGTTTTGATCCATCTTTATGATGTTTTGGGGGGTCGTGTGTGATGCTGCTGATGTGCACTGCGTTAAAGTGTTTGTAACTTTCAGCGTACCCAGATTAATATAAATGGGGTGGACAAATTATTAGAAACACCTTTCAGAATGACGCAATTTAAATCCATTAGCAACATAAACTACAGCCTAAAAATCACCATAAAGTTAAACATTATCAGCTTCAAGAGGGTAAAGTTAGGACTTGTTGCAGGACTGTAGACTGCATTCGTGTTAGCCAGGTTAGCAGGCTGGGTGTATAAATTAAGACAGGTGAACTTCAGCTCACCTTAATTATCTCTGATGTAGCAATAGCTACAAAAATAGGTCGCATTAGCTCACATTACCTCAAGGAAAGCACGTTTATCGAAAACCACATAACCTTTACGTTGCTGTGTTAGCCCTGTTACCAACACTCAGCTTAAGTAAGTGGTTAATTAAACAAGAAATGAACGTCCTCTATGGTATCACTGTGGTTAGCTGTTAGCTCACACAGCTAGCTGGCTGCTAACACTGACAGTATATTATGAGCTAATTCGCCGTTACACTGTAACCAAGACAACCGCGTTTCAGGCCGTAGTTTTTTTACCTCAACATCGCTGCAGACATATCTTGAAGCGGGTGGTCAACCGAAATGTGTCCGTCCTTACATTGTCATGATACCACCAATATATCCTGGTAAATGGCGCTCAATCTATTCTCAGCATCCCCTCACAAGCCATGGTGGGGCTAAAGAGGCAATAAATGACAGCCAGTGCTCTTCTTCTGTTGGTGGCGGATTGTGATACCAACCTGTGTGCATAGCGCCACCTACCGTACCAGAGGGTGTATGTAAATGATATATCTTTATATAGTGGCAAACAGCGTTATTGTGCATTACCACCACCAACTAAATAAAAAAAAGTAAACAACAGCTGGTGCATTATGTCAATTACAATCATACTTTGGTCATTTAATGTAAATTCTGGTATATCCTCATCATCATCAACTCACTCTGTGTCTCATATTTCAAGCAACTAATTTCACTGTTTACCCTTTCATTGTCCAACCACTTGACTTCTTCTAACCCTCCTCTACAATTGTTGTGTCTTGGTACAAATGACTTCCTTCCCGCTCTCTCTTCCAGCAAGCAGTCTGTGAGCTTTTTCCCATATTTGGCTTCTGACTAACAAAAACTGCTGCTGTTCCTTGTATCTCGGATTGATTTGCCAGAGCAGCCAGTCTGTCTTTACCCTTCAGCACAGCACAGACAGGAGCCAACTTACACTTGGTATGTATGCCTTTTGAATGATTTGTTTTGACTGTTTCCTCCCTTGTGGTATCATTTATACTGTAAACAGCTCCACTGTGTATACCACCATGCTGTGTGTTTTCTGATTTCTACTTTCCTTCCTTGGGCTGTAAATCATGTAACTCATTTGCTACTGAGCCACGCACTCTGATCAATATCCTCATCACAGTTCTTATTCCTTTTTTTAATGTTTGTACTATTTTGGCTGATATGTTTTGACCGTGAGTAATCTAAAATGTATATAACCTCTCAGCTGAACGTCTCCTCGCACCATATAGTTATTTTCATGAAGGCAGTTTGTGTATTTTTTGAGCATCAGTGACGTCTTGTGGATCCTGTTGACAGCATGCTTTATGTTGTTTGCATTTCCTGACAGGCCTCTATCAGCAACACTGACCCTCTTGTACCTTACATGGTAAAAAAAACCAGCACTGATGGATGGTTGGATATTAATAATTTATTAGCACGCTATCCTTGAGCCACTACCCTGTACCAATTTCATCTGCAAAGTGATTTCAATCTGTTCATATTATGGCTTTGTTGGTTCTAGGGCATGCCTTTTTGTTTCTGGGCCATCTTTAACTTTATCTGACACCACAGATGGTGTCATTGTAGGCATCATCTAGCTGCAATCAGGTAAGACTGTAGGTGCCTTAATTACATTAAAGTAATTAGTCAAGATAACTTGGTTGAAAACAAGGTTGAGTTTTTATTAAATAGGCTACAAACAGAATTTGTTTCAATAAGGAAAAGACCGCGCTAGCCTTTCTATTACAGGGCTAAAATATAGTACATCCAGAATTCCCACTCACATTCACACCTAAGGGAGTCGTCAATTCACCCAACTTAACCAGTATGTCTTGAACTGTTGGGGGAAACCAAAGGACCTGGACGAAACCCACAAAGAACATGCAAACTCCACACAGGATGGTACCAGCAAGCCTCAGGGGATTCAACACAGGACAGAACAAAAACTAGCTTGAAAATGGAGACGACTTTGGCTCTCGTTTGTGCCAGTTTTTTTAAATTATTCATTTTAAACCACTAATTATGTCAGGTTATAGGTTCAGGAAGTCTGCACCATTAAATGCAGCTGTAGCACTTTCAGTGCTATACAAACATTGTTTACATCAAACAAAGATAGATAATAAGAAAAGAATTTAAAAAATACACTGGGGAAAAAATTCAATAAAAGAAGGTAGAATACAGATAAACAATAAGTATCATTACTTAATCATATTATATATTATTCTGGTGCTGCCCATGTTGTTATAAGAGATGGTATCATATTACTCTTGCATATACTAAAGTCATTTCATTTGAAATAATACCGCACTTCACTTTAAGTACAACACACGTACTGGGTACTGTATCTATACTGCTTCTATGTTTCTTTCTATTTTTATTATTTTTATTTTATATACTTCTAGTTCTTACTTTTCCCCATTTATCTGTTCTTATTTCTGTACCCTACTTCCCACTAGGGCTTGCCAAAGTTTAATGGGGGGTCACAAGGCGATTTTAAGGCATGTAAGAAAACCTTAAAAATGTACACATTAGGCCTATATCTTAATTTGGTTCACTTCTGTGAAGATAAAAAAATGTTAGGGAAATTGTCTAATTTAACAATGGCCAAGTGCCAAAGACAAGAAAAGATTGAATTTGTAAAAAAAAAAAAAAAGAAGCCTATTGTATGTGTATGTATGATAGTTAAAAATGCTTTTACATCATACAGACAGAGAACTGTAAAATAAAGTTCCCTAAATAGGAAATAATCTACTCATAATTCATCCAAACCACTCGTTTCACACAGCCTTCTTGCAGTTGTTCACTATAGATTCAAGATTCAAGATTCAAAAGGTTTATTGTCATATGCACAGTAAGAAACACAGTAGTTTATACATACAATGAAAATCTTACTTTGCCCGACTCCCTTTACACAACAGTACAATAATAACACAAATACACAACACAAACAGAAGAATAGAATTTACAATTAAAATATGAAATATAACTAAAATATAACATAGAACTTAAAGTGCAGAACAGTGTACAGTAAACCTATTTGAGTTCATTGTACAGTTTTGAATATACTATAAAATATCCAAACAATCTGTCACTAACTCAGCCGTCGGTCAGTTTATTAAAAGACAGAAACTACGGCCCTATTAAAGGTTAAAACAGAGGCAGGGAACCACTGCCCTGCACTGTATGACCGTATGGTTTTTGGCACTGACTGCGCTCATAGGCCGGATCTCGACGTCTGGAGGTGACGTCACCGACAGGGCGGGGCCAACATTCCAACTGGAGTCTACTTTTGTCTCTACGTGGAGGAGGCAGGACTGAGAGCTGGACGCTGTCTGGAAATTCAGGCGCACCGACAGTGAGTACCAATTTCCTGGCAACTTCTAGACCAACAACTACTTTAACAGCTCGAATTTGTCTCAATAGCGTTTGCTAAGAATAACACCCGTAGTCCTAATCTTTCCTTTCTGTGATAGCCGCTATCCTCTGTTAAGGAGGCGGTGGATTTGAGCAGGGATAGTTTCCTGCCCATGAAAGTTGCATGTCTGCTCGTTAGCCCGACTAGCTTTAGCTGCACCTTCACTGTAGCCTATTCATCCCCACGGCGTTGTGTGGGTCCGAGAAATACTCAATACCTTTAATATGTGGCCAGATAACTTTTAGTAAAAGTACCTAGTACTCAAAGGCAAGGCTAAGGTGGCTAACTTAATAACTAGGCATATGTGCTGTTTTCATTAACTTATGTGTTACAAGGTACATGTTTTCTTCTATCACTTTGTGCTTGTGAATATGACAAATGTCACAGCAAGAACCAGGTTTTGTTCCTTTTTTAGTACACCTATCACAGCCTGCACTCACTTTTAAAATCTCCCCTGCACACATGCAGGCGCTCAAATGACCCACACATAAACACCCTCACACATACAGTCTCTACAAAGGATGCAGCCCAGTGTAAATAGGCCGTCTGCAATGCCACTTGTGTGTAACCTCATTGTCTGCCCTTCTGATTGACAATTCACCTTTTTTTTCTTGTTGACACTTTTGTGATGCCAGCACAATTCTAGTAAATGTTTGACTTTCTGTTAAATAGCCCCCCCCCCATGTGCCACATTTCTTTGACATAGTATGAGTGATTAATTTGCAAAGTGGAATTTCACTCGCTGCACATGTGATCCTCCAAAAGACATTGTCCTTATGGTCTTTATCTAAGTGGGGGTTACAGTATGTTGTGAAAGGTTGGTGGATGTTTTAACACTGAAATGAGCCCATGTAAAACAGTGGTCTATGTAAACTTATTTATTGCTTTGAGTGAATTTCCAGATTTTTCCTGTCGAGCCATCTGGGGCTGCAGCACACGTACATCTGGGATCCCAATTGTGGGATTCGCTGTTGGGACAGCGTTTAACAATAATATGTCCCTAATATGTCTGATAGTATCAGAGAGACCCAGATTTTAACTTGAGAAATATTGTGCAACTTAGAACAAGAAGAGTGTTGTGAACACAGTCATCAGTGGACCTATGCTTGTATCACTGTTGTTGGTTCTCAAAGTCTTGTTTTGCTTTGTTAGAGAGATGTTGTGTGTTTGGAAAAAGATGTTAAAGACAGAAATGTTAAACCCATATCAGGACTCTGGGGGCAAAGTATTGTCCATAGTGTCAGCAGTGGAAAAAGTGTTGTTTGCACTTCCTATGTGGGAAAGAAAAGCACTGTAATTCATTTTAACTGTCCCTGTCATTAACCTGATTGGTGTGGTCAAATTGCCCATGAATGTGCATGTGTGGTATGTGTACTATGCTTCACAACAGCTGAAGTAAAACGTTTCCCTTGTTCATGCTGCAGAAACACGTGAGAGTAATGTAGGTCTTTTAAATACAGGCATTACATGTCTGATGTTATCTCTGTAAAGGCAAACCAGACAGTCAAGAAGGGGGAGGGAGGGAGGGAGGGAGGGAGTGTGCTTATATTTTGTGTGAATGAACAGGTTTCCCCACTTTCTGCTCTGTCAGGATTTTTAACAGGTGCTTTTTCTTGTTGTCCTTTGCAGTGAAAGTGATCAAGTTACTTATCAGATCCACTTGTTTTCCCTTTGTTTTTGTTCTCTTCAGCTTTCTACTTTTGTAACTTTAAAAAAAGTATATTAGCTGTATCTGTTTTTAAAGCGTATTAATGACTACACCTTCGCTGTACAACCCTCCTAAATTTGTTAATTTGTGAATAGAAAATATTTTAAAAGCTGTACTTCCGCCATTACAACGAAAAATAGTGCAATGAGTCATTAATTTCCCCAAAATAATTATCTTCATATTTTTATCCTTTGTTTGTGAGGTCAAACGTCAGCTGCATGACAGTGGCCTTGGAGCAAGGAGGGATAAAGTGTCTTCCTCAAGGCCATAAAGCTACGTCATGCTTGTGTGAGGGAAGGGTGGTATTTCATAGATGCTG